TCACGCAAGTGCCCCCAGCAAGGATGTGCGTGAGCACCACCCTAAGAAGGCTGAGCCCTGGGCAGCCTGTGTGCCAGCACTATGTCAGCTGGGTGAGCCCCATGAGCACCCCGGCCAGTGTGAGAGCGATGAAACTGAGCGGGTGCACAACCCCTAGACCTGCAAGATTTTTTTATTTTAATGTGGTTAAGGAGATGGGGAAAAGGGAGCAGTGCTGGAGAGACTATGAATTGGCATAGTGACTACGGGAAATAGCAGGGAGAATTAAAAATTTTTAATGGAACTACTGTGCCAGACAGTTCAGTGGGTAGGGCATTTGCCTTGCACATGACCACCCCAGGTTCAATCTCCAGCACCACTTACAGTCCCACAAGTCCTGCCAGAAGTAATCCCGAGCGCAAAGCCAGGAATAAGCTCTGAGCACTAACAGGTGTCTCTCCCTCCCTTTCAAAATGGGACTACTACATGCCCCAGCAATCCCACTTCTGAGTGTGTGTGTGTGTGTGTGTCTGTGTGTTTATAAGAAATGAAATAAGGATTTTCAAAAGATATCTGCATTTACATAATCGTCGCAGCATTAGTCCAAATAGCCAAGACATAGAAATATGTGCCAATTATTGGATGAATGATAATCTCTAGGGTGTGCATATATGTACAGAAAGTTTTAATGAGTCATAACAAAAATACTGCCATTTATGATGGAATGAATATACGCCATGCCAGATGAGTTAAGCAAGTCACAGGCTGACTGTGCTGTCACTTAAGTGTGGAGTCTAAACTTTAAATTTATAGAAACAGAAAGTAGTTGTGATTGTTGCCTCAGGTGGGGGAATATGGGCGAAGCTGTCAAAGGGGATAGAGTTTCAGCGAAGCAGAGGATGCTTAAATGACCCAGATCTAATTCATCATGGTGACTACCTTGCGTATTTATAATTTGCTAGGGAGGTAAATCTTAAGTGTACTTATAATTTGCTAAAGGGATAGAGCTTAATCTACACTCAGAAAAAAATGGGAATAAGTACGTAAATTGATACATGTGGTCATTAGCTTGACTGATTATTGATTGTAATATGCATGTCTATATGGATATGCGCAGGCATATACCAAAATAGTAAGGTGTGCGACTGTCATTTGTCCAGTAGACTGCAGTAAAATGTGCGGGTGGGAATCGGGTGGGGGCTGCAGAAGCCAGCGGCCTTCCCAAAGAGGAAAGAGCCGGTGAGAAACGGTTCTGAGTAGGGTCCCGGTGTAGGGTCCAAAGTAGGGTCCAAAGAGGAAAGAGCCGGTGAGATACGGTTCTGAGTAGGATCAGAGCTCATCTGATCTGAGCTCAGATCCTCATCCAGCACCACCAGCTCTCGGCGCTGACTCTGGGAGGTGAGACCCAGGGCAGCCCACGGCGCTAGGAAACCCTGGCCGAGTGTCCCAGGTGCGCTTGTAGCCGCAAGGTCCCCCCAGGTACCCCAGAGCCACCCAGGTCATCAGGTCATCGGCGCGCCGGGCCAGCAGGGGAGGACTCCTACGTGGTCCTGGCGGGGAAGCCCCTCGGGTTTCGAGCCCCGCCCCGCCCTCCAGGCCCCGCCCCGCGCAGGCCCCGCCCCGCCCTTCAGGCCCCGCCCCTCTGCGGCTGGTTGCTAGGGCGCCGGCCGGCGCGGAGACGCGGCCCGCAGGTTGCCGGGAAGCGCGAGGGCCGAGCCCCGGCCCGGCGCCGCCTCGGGCTCCGCCCCCCCGGCGGGCGCTCGCAGCCCCCCGCACCCGGCCCCGCGCGGCCCGTGGCCATGGCGAGGCCCCCGCACTCCCAGGGCCGCTCGACGACGCCCGGGAGCGTCCTGCGCGCGGTGCTGCGCTGCAACCTGCCCCCCGGCGCGCAGAGCGTGGTGGTGTTCTCCGTGCTGGCCGTGCTCGTGCTCATCAACGTCGTGCTGATCTTCCTGCTGGCCTTCCGCTGACCGCCGCCGGGCCCCGCGGTGAGTGCCGCCGCCCGGACCCCGCCGGCCCGACCCCGCCCCCCGCGCGCCCGGGGGAGCCGCCCGGCCGCCCCCCGCGGCGGAGCCCGGGGCGCGCGCGAGCCTGCTGCGGCCGACGCACTCAGGGGCGTGGTGGCACTTGTGCCAGGCGTGCACGCGTGTGCAGCGCGTGTGTGCACGCGTGCCTGTGCCCGGGCTGGGTGTGCGGGGACATGTGCCCGGGCCCCGTGGATGTGCGTAAAATGGCGCGGGCGCGGCCCGGCCGTTGCCCAGGGGGCGGTCGCGGCTCCCGGGAAGCCGCAGGCATGTGACCGGGCCGGGAGCAACGGAGCTGGACGCGCCTGTGTGGCATGAGATGGCCGCAGGATGCTTGGACTCCATGTTACCTGCAGTGGCTTTGCCTTTCAGAGCTTCAGGGGTCTCGGTTCGCACATCCCCCACCCCTCTGCGGGTGGGCTCTCACTGCGCTTTCCGTGCGGGACTGGGACCAGCATGCGCCAAGGCGTGCTGAGGAGAAAGGGATGGGGCAGGGCGGGACGGATGGGTGGGCTTCGGGAGACACGTCCACTTCCAGGCTCCCTGTCCAGGCTCCCTGCTCCCCGTGACTTGGACTTGAACTTGGCCCATCACCGGGACAGCTCCTCAGTGACCCCCACATAAACAGCCCCCACCTCAAGCCAACTTCTGCTCCAGGCCCAGATGAGCTGGTGCCTCTACCCCCAGTCTGCCAGCTGCATCTTCGCATGGTGTGGGCACATCTCAGACCCAGAGGGCCTCTGCCCTGCCTGAACCCCAGTGGCCTCTGGGCCTTCAGAGAGCTGGGTCTAGTCAGCTGTTGAGTAAGGGGTGGGCCCAGATGAGCGCAGAATGTAGTGGGGGCTGGTCTGTGAAGGCCTGCAGCCCCCATCTGCATCTCCTCAACAGCAGTGCAGGGGTGCCCTGGGGCTGGCCCTGGAGGTCTCAGGAAAAAGCAGGGAGCACGTTTTGCTCCGGAACTGGATATGTGGGAGACGCCGAATCTGGTTCTGGGCCAGAAAGCGTGTGGGCAAGAAGCTGGGAAGGAGGACCTTGTGGGTGTGTTCCCTCCTCCCAGCGTGGGTCAGTAGTGCTGGCGGCCTCTGCATGTCTTGAGCAGAGTGTGAGCTGAGGAAGGGCAGCGACCTGCACTCGGCCCTTATACCCCACAGGCCAGCGTCGGGGAGTGGGTGGACAGGCTAGCCGAGATCAGGGCAGGCAGTGTATAGTTTCAAGACACCCATTTCTTGGGATAAAAACTCAGTTTCTCTCCTGCCTCAGTGTACCTGAGGGCGCTAGAAATGAATCCTTCAGTTACCTCAAAAAGTAGTCCGTGTTCACCCCCACGCACACCCTGGCTTACATACATCCACATGTACTTGAGTGCACACATGCACACAGCCGGGGGCTTCATCCCTGAGTGGAGGGGCACTTTGGGGCAGCCATTCCCACTGGTTCTGCCGGCACCATGTCTGTTTCTTCCTTGGCCGCTGCCCAGTGCCTTGGGGGCTGGGGAGGTGGCCATGAGCCACTCCACTGGTCCCCTGGAGGCAGCAGGCTGTGTCCTCCCGTGCCATCCCATCACTCTGAAGCCAACAAAGATGGCCCTGGGGACCAGGCCTCCCTGCCCAAGAGGACGTGCCCACACCATATGGCTTCCCAGCTTGATCAAGGGGGTCCCCTGGGCTGCTGCTCCCTCCCAGGAATGGCCGACGCCCCTGGATGGAATCTGGGGCAATTCTTGCAACCGGCAACCCTCTGCCACCCCTGCTGGCTGGGCATCTGAACTCGGGTGAACACAGTCTGCAGTTTACTGGTTTTGTTGGGCTTTGGAGAAGGTTCACAAGTTTCATTGTCCCTGAGAGCTCTGAAAGTGATGTGGGGATTACAGTGCCCTAAGACTGTACACCAGGCAGGAAGCCAGAGAACTCATACCTTGAGAAGCGGATGGGCACAGTGGGAAGATGAAACAGTTGGTGCAGAGGCCTGTGTGGTGATGTGCCCAGCCTATATGTGACTGCATGACCAAAGCGCCAGTTGTCATTGGTGCCAATACTTGGTGACCACAGAGGAGAGCTGTGGACCACACCTGCAAACAGTCCCTAGCACACCTTCTGTCACTACCTCTCCAGAACCCATTCGTCATGGAAGGAGCAGAAAGTGAGCTGCATTATGTCCACAGCAAGGGTGGCTCCAAGCATGGGCCTCCCCTGAGGGAGGAGCAGCGCCCCTATATCTTGAAGAGGAAACATCCATCCCAGTGTGAGGTCCACAGCCACATGGCAGGAACGAGCCAGGCCAGTTCTTGCAGCAGAGTGGGGTTACTCTAAAGAATTGGTGGCAAGTATGAACTCGTGAACTCGGTATGCACTGACACGAGAATACTCTGAAAATGATTCCATCTCCAGCAGCTGAGATTTGCTGCCACCTCCTAGTGCCAGGGGAAGAAGAATTCACACACTATGAGGGACTTGGAGCCTGGCTCAGCTCAGGCCACGGGCAACAATGGTGCTTGAGTCTGGGTGGTTAAGTCTTACAGATACACTGAACATCCAGCTCCAGGCCCTTCATACCTCTATGGGGCAGCATTGCCGGGTGGCCTTGCAGGTACTGCAGAGGCCACAAAAAGCTGGCAGGAAAGAGCCCAGGGCTTCTCCCTCAGCTTGGCAGTCTCTCCCAATGCCACTGTGGAGAAGAACCCACCAAGAAACGCTGGCACAGCAGAAATGAGGCTTGTGCTGTCCCAGCCAGCACCAAGAGCCAAGACTGCAGGGAGAGGCAGAAACAGCTCGGTCATTGCTCTGACAGGTGGGGAAGAAGGCACCCCAGGCAGGTGCGGGGGTGCACGTGCTCCCCCGGATTCTAGGGCTGCTGCTGGTTGAAGCATGTCTGGGCAGGATTCCATCTGCTAGAGTTGGCGGGTGACCAAGGTAATGGGGGCAGGGGTCAGCGGTGCCCTGCCCGGCTGAGGCTGGGCTTGGCTCCGCCCACTGACGGTCATCCTGCTTCTCTCCACAGCTCCTCAGCGATGGCAGCGTGGTCTGCGCGGAGGCACTCTGGGATCATGTCACCATGGATGACCAGGAACTGGGCTTCAAAGCTGGGGATGTCATTGAAGTGATGGATGCGACCAACAGAGAGTGGTGGTGGGGCCGCGTGGCGGATGGCGAGGGATGGTTCCCAGCCAGCTTTGTGCGGGTATGGTGTGCCCCGCCCCCCCTCCGAGGCCTTCTCCAGAAATACACGTGTGAAACTACTCTGGGTTCGAAGTGCTGGTGCGACCTCCCAGCTGGCCTTCAGGCCTGGGGCTGGGTCGGGGTGGCGATGGGGGCCGTGGGGAAGGGGTGTCTCTTGAAGACCACACACTGAGCCATCACCACTCCCCAGCCATGCTCCAGCCACAAGGCCTCCCCGAAACCCAACGGTATGTTACAGTGCCCCGAAAACGAACTCGCTTTACTCTGCTCGGTTTGAAAAAACACACTTGCATGGGTCCTCACCACCTGCATGATGGACCTTTACTCCTAAGGACACTGAGGCAAAAACAAACCATTAGACCGAGAGACGCTGAGAGAGAGCCCAGGGCCTCCCCAGCCAGCAGCAGCCTTAAGTCTCCAAGGAAGGGACACTGACCGTGCCCAAAAGGCCCAGCACAGGAGCGACAGTACAGTGGGTGGGATGCCTGCCTTGCACACAGCTTACCTGGGTTCTGTTCGTGCATCCCATATGGCCCCCTGAGCCTACCAGGAGTAATTACTGAGCAGAGCCAGGAGTAAGTCCTAAGCATCCCGGGTGTAGCCCCCCCAAGCCCCAAACAAAAGAGTCAAGAAGAGGTTAGTGAGGGGGGGCCTCGAGCTGGGGGACAAGGGGCAGTTAGTGCTTTCCCCAGAAGGCCCCTACAACGCTAGCCCCTGCTTGATGCAGGAAGCAGCAGCCCCACCCGGTCCGACACACGGGAAGCAACGGAGGACAGCGAGCTGCACTAACGGACCCACCTAAGGACAGGCCGCGGGCGTCGCGGGCAGGGAGCGGTCGGGTGGGCGCGCGCTGGCCCGGGGGCGGGCCGGGCGGACGGGCCCTTGCACGGGGCGGCCGCGCGGGGCCGCGGGCGCTGACCGCGCGCCTTGCCTGCAGCTGCGGGTGAATCAGGACGAGCCCGGCGACGAGGAGGTGCTGCGCGCCGGGAAGCGCGAGGTGCCGGGCGGTGGGACCGAGGCGCAGAGCAGCAAGGACCAGATGCGGACCAACGTCATCAACGAGATCCTCAGCACCGAGCGCGACTACATCAAGCACCTGCGCGACATCTGCGAGGTGAGGGGCGGCGGGGGCGGGGCTTAGGCGGCGGGGGCGGGGCTTTAACGGCCTGGGCGGGATCGGGGGCGGGGCTTGGGCGGCATGGGCGGGGCTTGGGCGGCGTGGGAGTTGCTGGCGGGGTGGGAGTGCGCTGACGCCCCCCGCCCGCGCCCAGGGCTACATCCGCCAGTGCCGCCGGCGCGCCGACATGTTCAGCGAGGAGCAGCTGCGCACCATCTTCGGCAACATCGAGGACATCTACCGATGCCAGCGCGCCTTCGTGACCGCGCTGGAGCGCAGGGTCAACCGCGAGCGCCCGCACCTCAGCGAGCTGGGCGCCTGCTTCCTGGAGCACGTGAGCGCTGGGGGCAGTCCGCCCGCGCCCGGACCCCGGCCCTCGGGCACGCACCCCACTCTGGGCCCCAGATCAGAGAGCGCGCCGGCTGAGCACCCTAACGAGGGCGGAGGAAACGCGGAGGCCCCTGGCACGGGGAGCACACGTGGGTGTGGGGGCGGGGGGGGGGCACTGCCGCATCGTCCTGCAAATGGTAGTGGTCGCACCTCCAGGTTCCAGTACCAGGGCCCGACCACACCGATCCCGAGCGCCACTGCTGCTCTCCCTTGTCCCTGGGCCCCAGGACCATCAGGTGCCGGCCCTCAGGGCGGGTGGGCGTTGGGAAGGTCAGTCACGGCCTCTCCAGTGGCCAGAGGCTGCCCCCCTTCCCTCCCCCCCCCCCCAACCAGGCGGGAGCACGTGGTTATTAGTCGACTATGGGGTAGGCAAGTTGTGATTACGGTGTAGGAAATCCCTCAGCCAGCCGTTCTCACCCTGTGACCAGACTGTTGGAAGTGGCTCAGTGGCAGACTGATCTCTCTGCTACAAAGCAGGTTCAGGGCAGAGCTCAGCATGGAGCGCTGTCCAAGCACGCACGAGGCCCTGGGTCTGTCCATGGGGGGTGAAGGAAGAAAGGAAAAGAAGACAAGCAGGCTCCATGACAGGACAGAGGACCCTTCACCTGCCTTGCACGCAGGCAGCCAGGTTTTGATGACTAGCACCCGGCCAGGAATGACCCCTGAGCACAGCTGGGTGTGGCCCAAAAGCAAAAGATTTAAAAAGAGAACAAGCAACCAGAAAGCCCAGCGAGTCTCAGTGAGTCTCAGGCATAGCCCCTGACTGGTCCAGCACACAGCTGAGTCCCAGGTGTTGGATTTGCAGCTGTCTGGCAGACCTGAAACCGGCACTGACGATGCAGAGAGCCCGGGAGGCATGGCTGGAGGCTTGGCATCCATCCCAACCTCCCTCCCTCGTCCTTGGGCCTTGCTATTCCGTCTTCCTTAGCAAAACTGATTTTACCCAGAAAAGCTGACATAGAGCCAGAATTTGGGCTGGGAGACCAGTTGGGTAAACCAGGTGGGAAGGGGACGTGCACAGGCCTCTTGTGACCCTCTCCTGGCTGTGGGGCACCTCCCTGTGCCCAGGGAAGTTCATAGTCAGACCCTGGTCCCCAGCCCCGTTCTGCTTCCTCTGGTACCTGCGCGGGAGTTGTGCAGGAGACAGCCATCCTAACCGCAGCTGTGCCCACAGCAAGCAGACTTCCAGATCTACTCTGAGTACTGCAACAATCACCCCAACGCCTGCGTGGAGCTCTCACGCCTTGCCAAGCTCAGCAAGTACGTGTACTTCTTTGAGGCCTGCCGGCTGCTGCAGCGCATGATCGACATCTCCCTGGACGGCTTCCTGCTGACGCCGGTGCAGAAGATCTGCAAGTACCCGCTGCAGCTGGCCGAGCTGCTCAAGTACACGCACCCCCAGCACAGGTAGAGGGTGCTGGGAGCTGCACCGGGTGCCGGGGTTCCCGCTGAAGCAGACCCTGGTCTCACCTTGTCAGGGCACAGAAGGAATGTCGGGGACTGGCCCTGGGTGAATAGGTCAGAATTCAGCAGGGACAGTGCTGGGATTAAGAAGAGACAGAAATGAGAGGGACAGCCTGGAGTCAGGGGACTCACGACCTCAGACAGAACTCTGAATGTCCTTCATATACAGTATTTATTGCTTAGCGCCAGTAATCATTAGAAGGAGAACATTCTTTTTGGAGGGTCTTTTGGGGGTGGGGGGGGGGGAGTCTGTATCCAGCTGTGCTCAGGGATTACTCCTGGTTCCGTGCTCAGGGGTCTTGGGAGACCATCTGGGATGCTGGGGATCGGACCCATGTGTTAGCCACATGGAAGGAAAGTGCTTTCCTATTGCTCCACACCCGAGAACAATGTTCTCTGGTCAAATGCCTGTCTCAGAGCAGTAGGACAGCAGGTAGAGCACTTGATTTGCACATGGCTGATCCAGGTTAAAAGGTTAAATTTCTGGCACCCTGTATGATTCCCTGAGGCTTCCAGGAATGATTCATGAGTGCAGAGCTAGGTGTAATCCAAAAGCAGACCGAAAACAAGGCTATCTACCAAAACTAGACATATGGACAAACATCTGTGTAACGGGCTTTCTCAAGGGTACGTTGTTCCGGGAGAAGGAGCAGAGACAGAACAGTTACAGGATGCTCAGTGGGGTAGCATTCTAGGTCGGAAGGTCGCATAATCTGACCAGCCTCTCCTTTCCTTTCCTTTATCTATCTGAACTCTTGGTCCCAGCAGGGAAGAGGACAAAACTAGGGTGTTCCACTGTGCTCTTGTGAGGCTGAAGTGGAGCCATGACAGGCTCCACTCTAAGACGGAAACTCAGCAGGCCTAAGTCCCGGTTCCCCCCATCAGAAAGTCCCGACTTCAGAGAACAGCATCACCCTGGGCAGATAAGCCGCCCCATGGCAGCAGCCTTATCATAGTAGGGGGCATGGGCAGTGGCGTCCAGCCAGGCAGAGAGGGCCGAGGGAGTGGAGTCATGGGACTGGACAGGGACCAGGAAACCAACATTATGGAAACATAATGTTGGTCCCTGAAGTCACAGGACCAGACAGGGACCAGAATTGGAAACATTTTGCCAATTCCTAGAAACAAATGTTGTTTTGTAACCAAACCCTATATAAGCTGCTTAGAATTCGGAGCCGGGGTCCTTGTCAAGACTCCACTGCGTTGCATGAGACTCGGACCCTAGCTCGAGCTAGCGATAAAGGGGCCTTGCGCTTGCGTCCTCGCGTCTTAGCCTGGTTAATGTGTGGGCAAAACTCCCTTTCTGGGACATAACACTGTTTGTGAAGAGAGGAAGTCGAGCCCCAGGGAAGAGGCTCTGCCGTGGGTCACAGCCCCCTGATGTCTCCCTCCACAGTGACTTTAAGGACGTGGAAGCTGCCTTACACGCTATGAAGAATGTGGCACGGCTCATCAATGAGCGGAAGCGGAGACTTGAGAACATCGACAAGATAGCTCAGTGGCAGAGCTCCATAGAGGACTGGGAGGTAAGAGAAAAGTCCCTGTGCTTTAGAAGTCCTGCAGCCCTGGGAGAATTCCAGGAGAGCAGCAGCTGTGCTCACCCCAGGAGTGGGCAGGCTGGCCAGAACCGGTGTCCCAGAGCCCGGCTGATGCTCCCACCCCAGCCCTGAGCTTGGGCATAGGTGTGGCTGTCCCTGGGAGGCGGAGACCTGGGCACCGGTGAGACTCAGCACCCAGCTCACACACCTCACCCCGAGTGCCCCCAGGAAAAGAGAAGCTGCCCCCTCTGCTGGAAATACCCACATTGCCCCTTAACTCCATTGGAGTTAAGCACTGGGACTCCCACAGAAGGGCCAGGCCTGTCATCAGGAACAAACATACCGCCAGTGTTGGACCCTCTCAGCCTCTCGGCCTTGTCTCTTCCCTGGACTCTGCCAGTGCTGCCCTCAGAAGTGACCCAGAGAGCTGGGCTACAGAGGCCTTCCTTTCCTTGCCTCCCTTCACCCCTCTCCAAGCCAGTGAATGTTACACAAATGTAGGTTTCTGAGCATCTCCCTAGAAAGAATTCTTGGGATGTGGATAGGGGTCTGAGCAAGGTGGCTTTGATACGGTTTTTCTGTTTTTCAGCCAGTTGGTTTGGAAGCCCAGACTTAGCTAAGTGTCTGTAAAGCCCCTCACCCCAAAGTGCCAGGAGCCAGGGGGGACCAACTGCGGTTGGCATTTCCCAAGAGGGACTGAATGATGCAGAGAGTTACTTGGAAAGCCTGAAGCCCACTGACAGGACTGCAGGGAGCCAGGAAGATGACTGCCATTAAACCCTCAGAGATGATTTCAGCTTTGATTATGCGCTAGGACAGCACTGTGTACTCAGACAGCCCCTGAGCGGGGTAGGAAACCATGTATTCTAAAGGCTTTAAAAAAAGAAATGGGTGAATGGCCAGGGAGGCGGCTCCAGAGGGCCCGCTCTGCAAGCAGGAGGTGGGGGATCGATCCACATTCCTTGCCCTCCCCCAGCCTGGTATCACACTGGAATAGGCCCTAAGTACCACCGGGTGTGGCCAAAACCCCCCAAAAGTGAAACAAGGGAAACCAATCTCAATGTCTTACTTTATTAAGGGAAGCCAACATTTCATTTTGACATAACACCAGTGACACATGTCAGTCTTGATTTTATATGATCTAACAAGTGATGTCCACTTGTCTAACCTCTCAGCAGACCTGAGCCACGCATAAGCACTCAAGACCACTGACAAACAATGACCCAGTTCTACAGACTAGGGCTAGTAGGTCCTACCCGATTTTGACATTCCCTCCTCCAGACCCCTGCCATCCCATAGTTCCTTGGGTTCCAAGAACGCCCGCTCCGTGGCCGAGAGCCTAGCAGTAGGGCCAGGGCCAGCAGCAGGCCTGCAGCCAGCCTCTGTGAGCAGCGCAGTGCCCAGCACGAGCTTCCTCTCAGCCCGAGGTTGGGGGCACTCTCTCATCCTGCCCCCGGCCCATAGGGGGAAGACCTCCTAGTCCGGAGCTCAGAACTCATCTACTCGGGGGAGCTGACGCGGGTGACGCAGCCGCAAGCCAAGAGCCAGCAGAGGATGTTCTTCCTGTTCGATCACCAGCTCATCTTCTGTAAGAAGGTACCAGAACCACACTGCCTGGGGACAGGTTGTGACTCGGAGGGCACGGCCAGGGGGAATCACGCTGGAGAAAGGGGTGGGAGCAGTTGCCACAGACAGTTCTGGACCTTGGGGACAGTCCCGTGGGCCTAGTTGAGGAGGGTCCTCTGCAGAGGGAGCAGCAAACCCCTGCTGTGGGGGTGGAGGGTGTGACGCTCAGTCTGAGCTGCACCCAGGGTGGTTCTGATGCCCACCGTCCAGACCGCCCCACTGCTCGCTTCCCAAGCTGCCTTTTCTCTCTGCAAGCCAGAGTCCCGTGTGCAGCTCGTTCCCGCCCTCTGTGTTGCTGGTTCTGCTCTTCCCAAACATCGGCTGTCTGGGCGGCCCCTTGACCACGATTCTGGGCCCAGCCCCATACACCCAGCGCTGTGCACTGCTTCTGTGGCTGCCACCCCGCATGCTGGGCCATCAGGGCTCTGCAGGCCACTGTCTGCTCGGAGTGGCTGCCAGCCACAGGCCCAGTCCTGGGCAGCGCCGGGTTCTACCCTGGGACCCAGGAAAGGGTGCGGGGACCAGAAAGGGCCTTGTGGCTCATGAGCTGTCTGGCAGGACCTTCTCCGCCGGGACATGCTGTACTACAAGGGTCGAGTGGACATGGACAACTTGGAGGTGGTGGACCTGGAGGACGGGAAGGACAGGGAGCTGCACGTGAGCATCAGGAATGCCTTCCGGCTGCGCTGCCTGCCCACAGGCGAGAGCCACCTGCTGTGCGCCAGGAAGCCCGAGCAGAAGCAGCGCTGGCTCAGGGCCCTGGCCAGGGAGCGGGAGCAGGTGCGGCTGGACCAGGAGACAGGTAGGAGACCCACCCGGCCCTCAGCAGCCACCCCTGAACTGCAGCTTACAACCTGGAGGTGGTGGCTGGGGTTAGCTCCAGGTCACCTCAGGGGCCGCGTTCTGTGGCGATCCTCTCCTCGCCCAGAATCTGGGTGTTTTGCCCAGCATACAGTACAGACACCCTCAGGGGTCGGGACCTCAGCTCAGCTGCAGACCAGGGACGTTTATTCCTGATTACTATTTCAGGAATAACCTCTGGAAGAACACTGGAGGACAAAGTGGGTACTGGCTCCAGAACTTTCTCCCATGCTGCCCACTGCACACCTTCCTGTCTATAAAGCACTGGCCAGATTGGCTCTGTCTGAGAGACAAGACACAAGACAAGGGTGGGGGTGGAGGAGATCAGGCCTGGGGCAGGGGGATGGGGATGGGGCAGGGATGGGGCAGAGGATGTGAGGAAAACCCCCACAGGGCCCCAGAGTAGCTCTTGGCCTGGTCAGCAAAGGCAGGCAGCAATCAGTGTGGGTGTGTGCAGTGGGCCCAGCCCAGAGCATCATGGGAGGTACAGGGTACACACGGCAGAGGCAGAGAAGCAGTGGGCAGGGGCTGGGCAGTACTCTGAGGAAGTGACTGACTCCTCCGCCGCCCTGGCAGGCTTCTCCATCACAGAGCTGCAGAGGAAGCAGGCCATGTTGAATGCTAGCAAGCAGGTCACCGCGAAGCCCAAAGGTGAGTGGGTGAGGCCCCCCCTCCCAGCCACCAGAGCCACACCAGCTCCGGCCCCTTGGGGCAGGTGTTTGTTTCTGAAGGCTGGTACCGACCAGTGTGCAGCTGTCCTCTCTCTGTCCCTCACGCCATCCCCAGGGGCACCACTGGACAAGGCTCACCTCCCTAGCCAGGCTCCCAGGCAGTTAGTGTCTCCGTCCTACTAACGGCCAAGACCCAGGGCCACAGCTCCCAGGGCCCTCCTTTCTGAGGTCCAGGAAGAGCTGCTGGACCTCAGAGAAGTAGGTTCCCCCGTCCAGTCAGCTGCGTGGCCTGGCCACCACCCCACGCTAGCCTGTACCGGTAACCCCGCTTCTCCCCCCGCCCAGCCCTAGGCCGGCCCTACCACCTCACACGCCAGTGGCCCCCAGCGGCACCCACGAGCCTGCCCCAGCCGCAGGGCGCGGTGCTGGCGGAGCCCAAGCGGAAGCCATCCACCTTCTGGCACAGCCTCAGCAGACTGGCACCTTTCCGCAAGTGAGCTCGCGCAGGACCTGCCCCCGTTTCTCCTCAAGCCTGCCCTGTGCCCAGCCCCCCGTTACTCTTAAAACAGCGGGCAGGGGCAGGCTCCGTGCCATTCTGTGCCAGTCCTGTGCTCCCACTTGGTCTCCGCCCCGCCTTGCCGTGTGCTGGGGACACCACCTGCAGGAGGCCACAGGAACCTCCCTCCAAACGTCACCCGAGAATTCCGGACAGCTAGTCGTCACCCTGCTTATTCTCCGGAGGGACAGTCTGCCTTCACCCAACTGCAAAGCCCGGCTGTCACTTCCCGCCACATCCAGAGCCCACCAAGTGGCCTCCTGTCACTTCTTCCTGCTGAACGCCCTTTCTCGTGTTCCTCGTGGGACGGAAGTGGAACTGTAGTTGGCTACACATCTATCGGGCTTGGGACCAGTCCTCGTGGAGGTGTGGGTGACTTCAGAGCCTGGTTTGGGGTTGGTTTGCTGCTTTTTTTTTTTGTATTTGTTGTATTTGTTTTTCCAACAATGGAGAAAGAGAACTGTTGTGACAGAAAGATTGCCTTAGCCGAAGTGAGCATGAGAAGCCATAGGCTGAATTCTGTAGCCCAGTACCCCAAAGCCATGGGGCAGCGGGGCCAGGAGAGCATCTTGTGCTGGGCAGGGCTGGACTCCTTGGCTCACACGTGTCCCACTGAGCCAGGCCTGCGGCCCATGGGAATTCAGCAGCATGTTCCGTCATGGTTGCACTAAGCCTTCTCCAACCCAGAAACCACATTTAATTTCATAAAGAAATATGAAAATAACCTGGTAGCAGCCTTGTTTTCCATCTTGTGTCTTCTCTGCATGGCCCTTCCTTCCTGTCTGTGTTCACCAGCCCTGCCCATGTCCCAGGCTATGGTGGAGAAAGGTATCGTGGCCAGGCCTGGTGTCTGGAGCTGGATCATTCCCCCGCCCCCCTCGGTCTCTCCCATAGCCCATGTGTAGCACAGGTTGGCAGGGGAGGGAGGAGGATCTTGGGTTCCTTGGTGAAACGCAGAATTCAAACTGTCACCACCTTGGGACAGCAGAGAGCAAGGCTCCCTTCTCCCACCTGGGCAAACAGGCCCCACACACTCTTCCACAATGCCCAGGTCAGAGGGCTGCAACCCCGGGGGGTCTCCAAACTGACAGGAGCAACGAGACATCCTTTGGGCCCAGCCTCCCTAGATAAAACTTAGAAGAGGAACATTCCTGAAAACCACAACATGCAACACAAGTCAATCTTTATTGAAAACTGCAGATTAATACATAACAATTCTTATTACAATAAACGTGCTTTTAAGAATTTTAAATTTGAGCTCATCTACTCATCGGATTGCATAAAAAAATTAAAATAGTATGAATTGACAAGTAATGGAACTGGCTCAGGATGGATGTTCCATTCTTCTGTAATGATTGACATGGTAAGTTTGGTGCAGAAGGGGAGGGGTGCCTGTAACACTGGAAGACAATGCCGACTTAAGCTTTAAAAAGTACCGAGAATGGTCTAAAAAAAAAAAAAGTACATTAAAGTTCAAAAAAAAAAAAGGGAAGGAACCACTTCCCAATCACAACCTGCGTGGCTCCTGGGGCCTTTCTTCAAGGGGTCACAGTAGCCCTCCAGGCCCGCCAAGAGAGCAGGAGGTTCCCCAAGGATCCTTCTCCCTACCTTCTCCCCACTGTGGCTAGGGCCACCTGTGTCTTCTCTGCAGTCAGCTCTCTCAAGCTTGCCCAATGTCTGAGTGGTGGGGAACAGTGGGGCTCAGTGCCTGCCCCTCCCCAAGCCAACACACACCTTGTGAGGATCCCACTGCCCCAAAGGCACCAGAGAAAAGACACCAAATCTGCTCCCACCTCACTCATGGGCTTCCTGTCCCATCTGCTCAGCCCAGGGAAGGGACAGGCAGCCCAAAGCACTCGAGTAATACTGTTTCCAAGTGTTTCCAAGAGGACAGTGAAGAAGTTCAAAAGGACAATGAAGAAGTCCAGAGCAAGCCCCAATACTGACGTGGCTGACTGACACCATCCCGTCCCCTGTCCCTGCCACTGGCACTCAGACATATGGGGACAACACCAGCCAAAGTGCTCTAAGAACCCATTTTCTCACATGTCTAAAGGTGACACCATGCGTGGAGCCCAGCAAGAAAGGCCCCGCTGGAAGCAGGTGCTCAGCACCGTTGCCCCTGCGAGTACGACGCTTGCAGAGCACTCAGGGAACAGATGCAGCGAGCAAGTACTTGAGCAAACACCCACCTGATAGGCATGCTCTGGAAAGACTGAACCAAGGCAAAACAGAGCCAGAACACAGCCCTGTGCCAGGACCATGAGACCCTGCAGAGACCAGCCTTCACCCGATGGGAGAAAGGTCTCCAAACCTTAGCAGACAACTTAAAACATGATGGTACCCATGGTTACAGGAATTCGGTCTTTTGCTTGCCTGTCTAAAAGAACAATAATTCAGCTGAAATTCTGAAATTAGGAATGTCACATTAAAAAAAAAAATTAAAATTAAAAAAATAAGGAAGAATGACTCTCTGAATGTTCCACTATTGTGCTTGTGCTATCAAGTTCTATTCCTTAATTTTACCGGAAGTAAATGCTGCTAAACTACAACCTATATACTTTGTTAATATTCGTATGTCCAAATTCTCACCACTAGGTAAGATCTACCTCTCATCATTCTGATAACTGATGCCCCAAAAGACTTTCTTCTATAATGGGAAATTATTTGACAGTCTCCCAAGTCATCTTTGCAGAAGGGGAAAAAGTTGTGTTTTTTTCTTTTTTAAAAAAATTGTACAGGGAGACAGTGTTTGTGACGCTGATCTAAATGGTGGTGGTGGAAGGGGGCTCAAGGGGTGGAAAAGGGAGATACAACCGGCTGTTCTCTAAAAAGCACCATGTTAGTGCTCATGTAAACACTTGCCCTGTGTGTGCCAAATTTGAAGCAAGTCCAAAGACATTCTATGTTGTGTCTTCTACCTCTGGAATCCAAAAGGCTTTGCCCTAACGCCTAGCCATGTGTGCAGGACATGGAACACTACACACACATGCCTGTTTTCCCATACTGCTTTCTCGGGTTTGTTTTAAGCAGACACCGAAATCGTGTTTTTCCCCCTTTTTAATCATTACTAAACTGGGAAACTGACTGACCTTCCTCAGTTTAGACCCTGGAACCTTTAGAACCTATCCTCATGACAGACCTTCAACTACACAGATGGAGTTACCAACACAAGAGCTGAAGAAGACATGAACTGTTTGCCTGGGGCCAACAGCTGCCATGTACACACACGCACACACAAGTTAAGTGCTCATGAAGCAATTTAAAGTACTTATCAGTAAACATACTATGTTAATAGACATTAGGAATAAGGATTCTGGTTTACAATGATCCATGCAAAAATATCCCTAAACTTCTTATAAAATTAAATGTGAATTAGAAAATCATGAAGAGTACTCCCTATAAAAAAAATCGGGTTCCCAAAGGCTCAGGGTCAGGAGTTCCACACACCCACTGTGGCTGAGTACTGGGTGTGCACCAGAGCCCTGGCCAGAACCACCACAGACTGACTCAGGGTTCCTTTCCCAACCAAAGCCCAAAGTCTCCAAACAAGGACGAATGGAATGAACCTCCACCCCACTGGCAAGACCCCACTGCCGAGAACAGGAACAACCCCCCCCTCCCCCCAATCCCTCTGACTCTCAGAACAGACACACTTCCATTAATACAAGCTGGGCACATTTGAGGGTGGGGTACGGGGGTGGGGGTGGGGGGGAAACCCTCGTGATTTCTTATGTACAAAATTTAGACTTCAAACAGGAAATCCTTTCCATCATAAACCCTGGCAGGCCAACTCCTCCCCCTCCTGTTGTCTGGTCCACTGCTGTCCATGCTTGCTTTGTACCGAGTGCCCTGAGCTGTGGCAAAAGAGAAGGCCCCAGAGGCCCCCAGGCAACTGGCACAGCTGCCTACCCTCAGTGCTCCACCACCTGAAGGGGACCCTCCAAACGGGCCTGCAGGACAAGCCCATCAGGTGGACAGCCCCAAACACAGGGCTCTGCATCTCTATAAAAAACAAGTAATTTCATATAAGGTTTTGTTCCCTTTTAAAAGCTCTGAAATATGCGATTTTCTATCATATAGTTGAAATCAGGGCCCTTCCGCAGGGGGCTGGGAGAGAAGATCAGAAATACCTACACAGTTTCAGCAGACAAGAGAAATGTCTTTCTAAACTAAAGAAGAGGCCAACACCTCCAAGTGTAGTTGTTTCTCTTTGACCTATTTCTCATAGTGGGGCAATAATTTAGTTCTACTTAGAATTTTCCCAATAGGGATAAATCATTTCTACCTGTAAGATTTAGAATGAAAATTTAGGTATCAGACATCACTGCTTTGCTGATATAGAAACCACCTCTTACCCTAACTGTACTGGCCACAAGACTCTAAATGTACCCTTCGTGATCTCCTTTAAGAACACTGAGGTTCCCCTCGTCCCACCAGTCTACAGGAAAGGCAGAGGAGCCTCAGGTGCACCCCGGCAGCTGCAGCACCCCCTCCCCATCCCACGTCCCGCAACCCCCTCCAGTGCCCTCAGTGCAAAACAAACAGATGGCAGGAAATGAAAATGTCTCCAATTGGCAACTACAGCGACCCCAAGAGGTTGCGGGATCATCTAAAAGACTTCCGATGCTCTATGAAGAAGTTTACGTTAACACAGAACTTTTTAAGACTTTGCATACATTACAACAGTGTATTAGTGATACAAGTTGTAAAATACTTTTCCATTCCTTTGGATTTTGCATATGATGGTTTTGCATCAGTCACTGCAGGTAGATTGAGCAAGCTTTGTTTTTGTGTGTTTTTTAAACATGCATTCAACTAGATATGATTCAGAGTAGATTAATACTCCCTTTTTATCATTATAGTTAGCTAAAAAAAATTGCCAGGCAGCCCACAAAACAGGATTTGCTTTAAGACCAACCCAGAGTGAGCTGGAGACTAACGGCGCTGGGGCCTGCCAGGCGGGCGTAGTAGTGCTTAGCTAAGTGTCGAGAGCATTAAGAAGAGTCCTGGTTGGAGGCACGAGGCCTGCAGCACCAGCTTGGAACCTCCGTGATGTGACTGCACAGCTCCATCTTCAAACCTGGCGGGAGGAAAGAGACAATCAGAAAAAAAGTCCCTGCTGCCCTCAGTCCCACAAGGACATGTCTACTTAGGAGGACAACATCTACGAGGATAAGGGAAGGCAGCAGCAGGCTGGCCAGTGACTGGTTCCTCCAATCTCGAAGGAGCCCAGTATGCAGAACCCTTCACCAGGAAAGGTCAATGTGGAGTAAAATACAGGCCATGGAAGAAATAACGCATGGATACAGAAGAGCTTCAAGGATTCCTTCTATATCCTACTCTGATGAGTTTTGTAAGAATTAAAATGTAAACACTGCACTGCCCTCGGATCAACAGTCAGCATATTAGGTTTTTGTCAGTGCTTAGATCTATGTGGTACATCACCATTTTCCTCTGGGGAAAAAATGCAATGTAGTCAAGAGCCAGCACTGGTCACTTACATTTGCAGAGTGATCACCACTGAGGGGGCACGTAGCTGTAGGTGGGTGTTCCTGGGGCCCGGTATGTGGGCACAGTGACCGGGTGAGGAGCGACGGGAGTGGGGGAATGGGCAGTCAGCAAGGTACCTGGAAGGAAGCACAGTGCATCTCACTACCTACCCGGGACATGGGGCCACAGCTGCAAGCTCCCCTGAACAAGCTTTGGTCTGGCCTTGACCTGGAGTGCTGTCAGCTCTGCTTATGCAGTTCAAAGCTACATAGCAGACTTGTAGACATGCTACAATACAAGTGACGCTGGGGAACTTAACACTCAGTGAGTAAGTACCTAACACTTAGGTACCTAGTAACTGAGATGAAGGAAGAGATAAACCGGCGGGTGCTGGTGCTGTAGGAGGGGGTGGGGAAGGCCGGGTGAAAAGCGACAGTGCTTAGATTCTGCTAGATGGAAAAGCTTCGGAGATCTGCTTCACAACACCGTGAATAGACTTTACACAACTGAACCATACACTTGGCCAGGATGGGTTGGCTTGCCCTTCAAGTCCATATTCTCCCTTGAACATCTACTTGATCTCTTTCTCTCTCCTCAGGCCCTAAAGGGAGAGCGGTAGGCAGATTCCAACCTACATTAGCTTGCAAAGCCCTTAAGCAAAACTATCTTCCCTGCCTATGAAAAATCCCAATGACCCGAGTCACCAACATGGTCAAGTACTACCTGAGCAAGGAGAAACACAAATTTGAATGTGACAGACTCATGTGATGGCCCTCATTGTGTCTGCCTAAACCTACCCTCATGCACCCCCAGCACAGCCGGTCATTCCCCTCCTCCCTCACGCAGCTCTCGTTGTACCACAACTTCCTTGTCCTTCACAGATTAGGTACAGAAAAGGCAAATGAACACATGGTTTCCAGTAACAAATGGTCTCTCTGGTTTACTGACAGCTTACTTAGACTGAAGTCTAGGTAGAGGAAGTGACATTTTTACTTCCATGGAGTGGTGCCTATCTCCAGGGTCTCACTTCTCAATGAGTGAGGAAAATGGTATATTTACCTGACCCAGGTCAAGTGCTGGGAAGCAGCCAATGGATGCTGAAGGGTTGTTTCTCTAAGCCCTTATCTTTATTAAAGGCCAAAGGCCAGAGACAGCTGCAGGGGTTAAGGAAGGCACTTGCCTTGAAACAGTCGGCCGTATTTCAAGCTCCTTTACCATATAAAGCGGTCCCCAAAGGACTGGCCCCTGAGCGCATAAGCCAAGAGTAGCTCCTGCGCACCACAGGATGTGGTCCAACCTTCACCATCCCCCCAAAAGAGAGGTCAGCTTTCCTAGACACAGGAAAACATCCCTATTCTGACAGGATGACAAGAGCAGCGCACGTGTAAAGGGAAATCGGGAGGGCCAGACCGACAATGTCTTCTGCTCAGGAACAGGGGGCCAGCTCGCTCCTGAACCCCTTCTGCCAGGGAGGTCAGCTCCCCAACAACATGGCCCCATCAAATCCCCATTCCCTCCCCAGAGGAGGGGATTTGGTTCTGGGTTCATGGCTTGTACTCTAAAGCCCACGTCCCAGACTCCTCTCAAATGAAAAAAAGAAGAGTTAAAGAAAAAAAAAAAAAAGATTTCCCTCACCCAGAACTGTATATTCTTCCAACACAATCCTATACATGAAAACTCAAAGGCAAAAGTATAGTGACAGTACACTAAGAGTACAGCAAGAGCATAGTGATAGTATAGCAAGAATATAGTGAAGACTACCGTGAGACAGAGTACAGCAAGGATAGTGGGATTACAGTGAGGAGAGTGAGAGTACAGCGAGATCATAGTGAGAGTAAAGCGAGTAGAGCAAGATTATAGTGAGAGCACAGCAAGTACAGCAGGACTATAGGGAGAGTAGAGTGAGAGCATACACCACAGTACAGAGTGTCAACAGTAAGTACAGCAAGACCACAGTGCACAGTCAGGTTACAGTGAGAGCACAGTATAACGAGACTCCCGTAAGACTCCTGTGAGTCAAGCAAACTCTCCCTGGCCTTCCCCCAGTTTCCACGTCACCATGGAGCAGGCACCCCAGGATCCAGGACTTACCAGCTGACATGGCCATCGTGGTCCCGGCAACCATGCCCATGGTGACCCCACTGCCTCGAGGCGGAGGGATGGGCGCAGGGTACACTGTCGCTGGCATGCCGTTGGGCTGCACCACCGTGGTGTGGTGGATGACGTGGGGGGGTGCGGCGTAAAGGGGCTGTGTGTAGTACGTGCCTTGCTGTGGAAAAAGAACAATTGCCACAGGGTCTCATATCGGAAGCCTCAGCACCACGGTGGAGCGGCCCTTCCCACGAGTGCTGGAGCAGCCCCGGCCAGGCCTACCTGTGCGTACGGGCTCTGCTGGGGATAGGCACTTCGCACGGGGTAGACGGCGGTCTGGTAGGGGTTGGGAGAGGAGGAATATGGCGGCACCGCCCCGCTGGTCGGGGAGCAGGACACTTTATAAGGTGTGCCAGGAGTGTAACCTGAAACCAAGAAAGACACACTCAGCACACAGTGGCCAGGCAGGGTGTCCTGTACATCCTGGGCTGTGCTTCAATCACTCTCCAGAGTTTGAAACATGTGGGTGGGAGGGCACAGGAGAAGAGCAGAACTGTTTTCCTGCTTTGATTTCGTGGGGCAGGGAGCCACATCAGGCAGTGCGGGTGGGCTACTTCCAGCTCAGTGGGACCAAGTATTGCCAGAGAGCGAATCCAGGCCTCCACGCGGTCAAGTTCCGGGACAACAAAGTCAAGTCTGACTGAGCTTAAACAGCAAACAACTAGCTGGGCACACACAGCAGCTGAGAGACAACTCAGTGCAAGGGGAAGTGAATGATGCTTCTCGTGCAGGAGACGCAAGAGTCTTTGCACCTGTCCCCAAGCACCTGGACTGACCCCTGAGCACTAATGAAGTAGCTCCTCGCCCCCACCTGGGTGTAGCCCAACACTCCTGTCCAAATAAACAGTGAAAATTAAAATCTAGCCAACGTGTAAACCAGTTAGGCCTTCCCGGGGCCCAATTCAGGGGGAAAGTATGTGTAATGTCACGTGCTGAGACCCAGCTCAGGGCAGCAAGCATGCTTCACTATACTGCTCATCACAGCTGACAAGGGCAGAGACTTGCCGATCCAGTGAAGAAAACTATCAGGGTTACTGGTATGAGGAAGCTTAATTTATCAATTACAGAAGAGTTTAACTGTACACAATAATGAACCAGAACTGTAACAATATACCATGAGGAAAGTTGTTATTCTCTAAAATTATTGTTCTATACTATATAATAGAGGCCAGATACAGTATCACTATAACCACTATCAGGGTGACTCCTGATAGTGTACTGAACTGACACAGCAAGTTGGTAAGAGTTGCCCTTGTCCCTTCCACAATGACAATAAAATAGAGCAATAAATGAAAACCCACTATATCAAGCAGAGGAGAGAACAAAGGAACAGAGGTGGAAATGATTCAAGAGACACTGCCAACATTCCCAGGCACAGGGAAGTCACTTTCTCTGGGAGACTCAGAGTCCTTGTTTCTAAGAGTCGACGGTGTATGACCCAGAAGGAATGAGGTTCATCTCCTGACTGGGACAGTTTTGGCCCCCCTGGCTGGCCTCCTTTACCCAATAGACAATGAGGATCATTGAGCGGGAGGGGTGGGAAAAAGGGCCTTGTGACTACCTTGCTCACTGAGATGAACAGCAAACTGAGGTGATCCACAGCAGGAAACAGTACTCAGCAGTGGATGAACTGCCAGCACACATAACACTATGGAATAAATCTAAAAAAAAATTGAAATGTGCAAAAGAAGCCAGACACAGAAGGCTGGTCGAAGCCCACCCTATGGAGCTCTAGGAAATCACCACCTCATCTACAGTGTCAGAAACCTACTGTACCCCAGAGGGCTCAAGACACCCTGTTTCAGAGGAACAAAGTCACATCTGGGTATATTAACACACCAACTGTATCTAAACACACCAACTGTACACATCAAGGAAAACTTTCAGTATATGTAATTTATACCTCAAACAGTCAAGAATTGTTTCTCGGTCACAGAATGGCCCAAAAGGCCTGGGACACAATCCATAAGTGTCATTCATACATACACTTCTCAAAGGGTCCAGGAACTGCTACGCACTTGCCCTAAAAAATGTGTTATCAACAAGAAATGGACGCTGGATTAAATGACAATACTAGGCTGTGTTTAGCGGCGTGTACGTATCTGCTTTGGGGGCTTGTTTCTGGGCCACACTCGGTGGTGCTGAGAATCACTCCTGAGGGTGTTCACAGGTCACTCCCAGCCAGGCTCAGAGGACCATGAAGTGCTCAGGATAGAACTCGGGCTCCCATTAAGCCATCTCTCCTGTGTGTTGGATTTTTAAGAGGAAAGACGAGCAACTCCCATGTTATGCATCAGTTTTCAACGGTCTCTTTTGTGAATGCTGCTAACACCTGGAGGTCACACAACCCCAACAGGAAGTGCATACTCAAATCCAGATCTCTCTGCAGCCAGTCCTGGCTCTTGTGTGCAACGTGAACAAGCTAGCCTGAAGAGTGCAAAGATACTCCCAGGCTTCTCTATATTATTTTGAAATTAGTCACTTTGTTAGCAAATTAAAACAACGCCAAAATTGGAACAGCACCCCCTTATCAGCAAGACCACCAGTAGATGTCTACAAACAAGGACAGTATCAAATCCGAGGTAACCTATAATTGTTCCTATACATACACACCTATGATGAAGCTCAATTTATCAATCATGTAAGAGTTTAACAGTACCCAATAATGAACTAGAACAGTAATATACCATGAATAAAGTTATTATTTTCCTTTTTTTGTTTGTTTTGTTTTTTGGGTCACACCAGGCAATAGTCAGGGGTTACTCCTGGCTCTGCACTCAGGAATTACTCCTGATGGTGCTTGGGGACTATATGAGATACCAGGGATTGAACCCAGTAGCTCTACCCGCTGTGCTACCGCTCCGGCCCCAAGTTATTATCTTCTAAAATTATTGTACTATACTATTCAGAGGCCTGATATAGTACCAGAAGTATGGCAATTGCCTTGCATGTGTTCGACCCCTGGCATTACACGTGGTTCCCCAAATCCCACCAGGAGTGATCCCTGAGTGCAGGACTAGGAGAAAGCCCTGATCACGGCTGGACATGGCCCCAAAAGGGGGATTAACTTTTGTAAACTATACTCATTCCCAAACAGGCAGAGACACAACTCCGCCCGGGGAAAGCTCACAGAAACCAGTGTCCCGATCAGGAGCAGGAAATGGAAAGCTTTGCAAGCAGCACACTCATGACCTATGCTGTGATAGAAGCAATGGGCCGGAGTAGACTCATCATCACTCCATCACAGGTTGTGCTCAGTCAGGGCTCCCGCACAGCTGGCTGACTCACACCCAGGTGCTGACTCCTGGGAAGCAGCACAAGAAAGGCGGAGAGCGGGCGTGAGGTGGTCCCAGGACTCACGGCAGCCAGGAGCACTCCTCCTCCCTCAGCGTCAGCACCCCACAGTGACCACTTCACTTACCTCAGTCTCCAACTTCCTTCACCCTTCCACCCCCTCCCAGGATTCCCACACACATCTGACGAAAATGAAACTTTTAGGGATTAAACTCAGATAAGTCAACAGTCATAAGGACTGCCCACCACTGTCCGTATTTTGAGGGAAATGCTAGACTTATTAACTTGACATTCATATTGAGTTTCTGATGCTCACTGGTTTTCATATGGAAAAAAACTTTACCAAACATGACAAATAAAACTAGAATTGTAAAAACTGATCATAATACTAAGTACTTTTATTCTGAAGGTGACATTTATCTTTAAAATTTACTTTAAAACTGAGGTATATGCCATTGAGACTGACCTTTGAATAATAAAGGAGGGCAGGGAAGGCACCTTCCCACCACCAGCCATCCCCATTCTCCCAGGAGCATGGCAGTCACTCCCACAAACTGCCTCTGGCATCACATAAGCTCACGAATTTGCCATGACCCAGAGACTCATAAATAAATTTTTGCAGAGATCAACAAGTTGCAGAGATGCTTCTGCACCCCTTAGTCACCATCCAGTTTTTAATTTAACTCTAGTTGTATGATACCATTCAAAATTTTAGCATTCCTGGAGCACGCAGCTGTGCAACTTCTCAAACTCCACACCACTGACATACCAAGAGTAGCACAGTATACTGGATGGACGTAAAGAGGGTAACCAACCTTAATTAAGAAAATATTAGCACAAGGCTCAACCTATAACAACATGATAGTAATCTCTTACACAAGCAAGGGCTTAATGGCTCCAGGGTGAGTTTCAACAATCTTCACATGCTTTCTCCTAAGGAAATCTTTTCTGATCACTTTTAGCAAACTGTTCATAACAAGCAAGATAAAATAAATTATTTAGGGCCTCCTATAGGGGCAGACGGGTGGTGGTTGGGAAAGTTGGAAATAATGGTGGTGGGAAGGTGTAACGGTGGTGGGACTGGTGTTGGAATATTGACTGTAATACATCATCGTGAACTTTATAAAATTAAACTCAAAAAATATTTTAAAAACCCAAGAATCTGGATGGTACAGTGGGTAGGATTCTTACCTTCTTGCATGCAACCAACCTGGTTTTGATGCCCAGCATTCCAAATATAGTCCTGTGTACTCCAGGAGGAGTGACTCCTGACCGAAAGCCCTAAAAACTCCCACCCCATCTCCATTAAAGACATGAAAATCCAAGAGGTTGCCACAGAAAGATACAAACACTGTAACGGTACAATATTCATGTTAGATACATTTGGGGCACATGGCCAGAACTTCAAAGTGTCTTACTTTTCAAATCACAAATTTCACATACATCTTTACTTATGTATTGTCTAATCCGAAGACTTGCACTGCTGGTTTGGGCCGTCAGGCAGTCAAGCAACTAAGCAGCAAAGAACCATCTGGCACCTCTCAGTGGATGCCCCCTCCAGAGGTTTCCACAGCTATCATTCCCATCAATCCTGTTATCCCCCAACTTGGAAAAGTAGCAGGAAAGACCCAAGTTTCCTGAAAGAAAGGAAACATGTAAGAGGACACAGGTGAAATATGTCCTACAGTTACCCAAAAGAAGTCCAAAGAAAGGGTGCTGTTAGGATCATGGTACCTAGGCAAAAAAGGGCATGACAAAATATTCTGCATCATTAATCATCAGGGAAATGAAAATCCAAACAACAATAAGGTATCAACTCACAACAGAGACTGGCACACTAAAAGAACAGTAATCAGTGTTGAAATGGATGTGCGGAAAGGAACCTTTATTCACTGCTGGTGGGAATGTCAACTGGTCCAGTGTTTTTGGAAAACAGTACAGACATTCCTCATAAAACTTGAAAATTAGGAATTGAGCTTCCACACAACCCAACAATTCCTCTACTTGGAATAAACTTCAAGGGCCCCAAACCAGTGCAGAAAAGGCAGCTGCACCCCATTGTTTATTGCAGCCTATTCACAAGAGCCAAAATCTGGAAACAATCCAAGAGCCCAAGCACAGATGATTGGATAAAGAAGCTATGATACAAACACATAATGGAATACTACTCAGCCTTAAGAAAAGATGAAGTCAGGAAATCTGCTACTGTATGGATCTGGAGAATATCATGCTGAGTGAAGTCAGCGAGAGAAACAGATAATGAATGATATCACAAATACGTGGCATATAAAGAAACACAGGAGCGGAATAACATGACCTAGAGCAACATAAGAAAAAGGTTCACTATGACCCTGGTGGAAGAAGCGGTCCGTCTGAGAACAGAGTGCTGAGGGAGGTATAAAGTGCCAACAGAGGCAGGTTGGGTGCAGGAGAGAAACTGGGGGCATGAGAGGGAAGCCGACTCTGGTGAAGGAATGTGCTGGAACACGGTACACCTGGAACTCAACCATGAGTAACATGGTAGCTTAGTGATTCATCTTTAAAAAGATCAAAAGATCAGGGTCCCAGAATGCATCCTCTGCCTGTGGGAGACAGACAAAGCCTACTCGGGGGAACCACTCTTGATTACCTGGGCGGTGTCTCACTTACCCAGCGCCAGACAGAGTCTATGCAGCGGAACCACTCTCGCTAACCTGGGCGGTGTCTCACTCACCCAGAGACAGACAGAGGCTATGGCAACAGAACAACTCTCACTAACCTGGAGCTGTTAGATTCTGGGCAGCAACAGCTGTGCCAGGCTCAAACAAATCAAAGCTTTTTTGGGAAAAGAACTTTTTAAAGATTTGGGTATCCTTAACAGCTTTTTCCGGGTAAGGCCCACACTCAGCAGCGCTTAGGGCTTCTTCCTGGCTCAAATCCAGGGATCCACTCCTGGAGGGCTCAGGGGACCATATGGGGTGCTGTAAATCTACCCAGTTTGGTCATGTACAACGTGAGCAACCTACCTGCTGTACTGTCACTCCAGCCCTACTTTTAAGGCATTTTTATATTTTAACTTTTACAGCATGAAGAAAATGAGAAGTCAGCTACCCTACAAAACTAAAATGATAGGAGCAGCAAGATGGCACAGCAGGTAGGCATGCAGCCCAACCGGGTAGATCCCTAACACTGCATACAGTTCCCCAGGTCCACCAAGAGTGACCCCTGAGCACAGCACCAAGACTAAGCCCTGAGCACAGGTGGGTGTGCACAAAAACCTAATTAAGAAAACTAAAGTGATGACTCACTGTATAGAGGGCTGTCTGTAATAATAAGAACTTCAACCCATTCTGATCACCATATACAAAAATTAACCTGAACTGGAACATAGATCTACATGTGAAACTTAACACCATAAAACCTTTAGAAGGGATACAGCTTTATGATACTGGGTCAGGTAAAGATTTCTAAGAGATGATACCAAAGGTATGATCTATGAAAGGGTAAAGGGAAAAATAAATTCATTACATTTAAATTTGCTCTTTCAAAAACAATGTTTAGAGAATGAAAAAAGCCATACACTGAGAATATGTGTGAGAATCATGTACCCAATAAAGCATGACCAAAACTCTGGGCTTGCAGAGCAGAGTTCAGGGTTTAAGGCACAAGTTGCACAAAGCTGACCCCTGTTTAATCCCTGGCACCACATGGACCCCCCCAAATTCCCTACTACAACCCTACGGGCCCATGAGCAACACCAGGTTTGGTCCTGGAAGCCCCTGTGCACCTTGGTTCGACCTGCTATCCCTAGCATCACCAAATCTGTGCACCAGGCATCCCAGGGCACTTACATCAGAACAACAGCATAGAGCCCAAATTTCCATATTCCCAGGGAAGGTCTACCTCCTAAACCCCCCCAAAAAAATTCTCTAAAGCCAGTAATAAGCTAATAAAACTAAGGAAAGCCTCCAGGGCAATATATTTGTATAGTAAAGTGGCACGCTACAAAATTGAAAAGCAAAACTCTGTATTTGCTATATGCAAATAATGAAAGAGAAGGAAGATTTTTAAAAAATAATCCTGTTTACAACTGTTTAAGAAAATCAAGTACCTGGAAATCAGCCTAACTAAAGAAGTGAAAGATCTACACAAAGAAAACTACAAAACACTACGCATGAAATAAAACAGGACACAAAAAAATGTAAACACATCTACTCAGGATCAGGACGATCAATGTCATCAAAATGGCAATACTCCCCAAAGCACTGTACAGATTCAAGGCAGTCCCTATAAGGAAACCTATGTCATTTTTTAAAGTAGATCAAACATGCCTCAAATTCACGTGGAGCAACAAACACCCCCAAATAGCTAAAGCAGTCCTTGGAAAAAAGAAGACGGGAGGCATTACTTTCCTCAACTTCAAACTGTACTACAAAGCGGTAGTAATTAAAATAGCATGTTACTGGAAAAAAGATAGATCCTCAGGTATATGATCAATTAATCTTCAATAAAGGAGCAAAAACATGATGTGGAGCAAGGAAAGTGTCTTCCAACAAGTGGCGTTGGAAAAAATGGTCGGTCACATGCAGAAAAATAAACTCAGATCTCTTTCTAATACCATGTGCAAGTCAAATCAATATGGATTAAAGACCTTGATATCGGAACTGAATCCATAAGGTACGCAGAGGAAGATATAGACAGAACTCTACGTGATAGTGAAGCTAAAAGCATGAAGGAAAGATAAACAAATGGGACTATATTATACTAAAGAAATTTCTGCACCTCAAAGAAAATGATGATCAAGATACAAATGACCAGGATCATCCAGGGAACGTGAGAAACACACATTCATCTGATAAAGTGCTGAAGAGAAAGAAGAAATTATCTCCACGGATCAAAACAGAAATTCCACTTATAAAAAAGTCAAGATGATATTTAGTTCCTATCAATCTTTATGAATAATCACAGGTAGCTGTGATCAGACTAAACCTGTGCAGTAGAAGATCAACAATGCATTATCTAAAGCTTTCCATGCAGTAAGAATTAAGCATTTAGGGGCATTCAGCAAGTAGGGCGCTTGCCATGCATGTGGGCCAACCCAGGTTCAATCCCCAGCATCACACATGATCCCTTCAGTCCAGCAGGAGTGACCTCTTAAGCACAGAGCCAGGAGTAAGTCCTGAGCACCACAGGGGTGGGTGTCCTTTTCCCCAAAAAGAGAACTGTTTATTGTACTATCAACAAGGCTAATTTTATTAAATTAATCCCAAATCCGAATTCTACAATCACTCTTCTCTGAATCCACCATTCCCCCATCCCCACCCCAGTTCATGGACCCAGCACACATGACGCACACATACCTGTTTGGAAAGTTGGGTTTGCTCCGGGGTACATGTTGGGAGAGTATGCAGGAGCAGCTGCTGCATAGCCCATGGGGAAGCCAGCTGCAGGAAAACAGAACAATCTGATGTCATCACCTGAAAGGACACCATGATTTTACAACCAGAGACCCAGATGTCTTCCCTGCATCACCACAACTCCAGCCTACCTTAGGAGTTCAACGGAAATAATGCATACCAAGAAGTCTGTCTTGAGCTGCCTCCTGATCTCAAGATTGTGAGGCTCTCAATGATAACCATGTCTTCTAAGCTTTCTGAATGCCAACTCCCAGTATTTCCTATGGCTTTACTCTAGATCGGTAACATATGATATATTACTTAACTAGAGTTGTTAAGAGTCCTAAGAGTATTCCACACTGAAGGGGCAACCTGCACCCAGAAAGGAAAAAAAATCCCTCACAACCCACTTGCAAGCATCTCATAACAGAAATTATGAATACAAAGAAGGACTACACACTAATAATTTAAGTCAACACAACAGATACAGTAAGATACAGGGCATTAAGTTTTATTGTCAAAATCCTGCCATGAGCAGAAGGGTCTTTAGAGACCTGCTCAGGCCTAGGAACCCAATAAGGTCCTCATGCTGCCCTTGCAACTGACCCCTCCAGTTCACAATCCAGAAATGTCTACTGTGCGACAGCTAAAGTATTAGTATACCATGATGGTCAGGGCAAGAACCAAAAAAGACAATTCAGGGTGGCGAGTCTTTACTATTGCTGAATCTAGTTGTGGGAAGCTGTGACTCCTCTATTTCTGGGCCTAGAGCAAGTAGGGCACTTGCCTGGCACATGGCCAACTTGGGTTTGTATCCCATATAGTGTCCCAGGAGTGATCCCGGAGTACAGGCAGAAATAAGCCCTGAGATCTGTAGTTGTAGCCAAAAAAAAAAAAAAAAACCCAAAACAAACCAAATACAATTCCCCCCACCACACCTCCCCGCCCGTGTTCCACTCTCCCCGTAGTCATGAATAAAATTTAAGTTAAATAAAAGTCATCTGAAGACACAGCACTAAGAGACTCAGAGAAGTGTAACCTAGGGCTATCATGATGGTCACAGAAACCAAAATAAAGACATAGAAAAAACAGGATAGGGGCTGGAGCAATAGCATAGCGGGGAGGGCGTTTGCCTTGCACGCGGCCGACCCGGGTTCTATTCCCAGCATCCCATATGGTCCCCTGAGCCCCGCCAGGGGTAATTCCTGAGTGCAGAGCCAGGAGTAACCCCCATGCATCGCCAGGTGTGACCCAAAAAGAAAAAAAAAACCCAGGATAGATGAAGAAAACTACATGGCCAATTCAGAGAGAAATCCAAAAGTAAATGCCTATGATTGATTCTGGATTTCATTTTTGTTTAGAGTTGGTTGGGGGGCCAGACCTGATGGTGATCAGGGCATATTACGGGCTCTGTGCTCAAGGATCACTCCTGGAAGGGCTAATATAGGGTGCTAGGGTTCTAGCCTCCCCCCACCACATAGGGTGCTAGGGATCGAACCTAGCTTGGTGGCACACAAGGCAATCACTCTGCCAGCTGTGTTCTCTCTTGAGCCCCTCTGAATTTTATTTTTAAATACCAACCCCTGAGATCCCCACCACCGTTTGGAAGTCCTTGTCTGGTAAATCACTTCCTCAACAGTCCTGCGGTTTCTATGGGCCCCTTAGAAGAGCAGAAAGTTTTCACTACCAGTGTCTGTACCAGGAATTCCTCCTTGAAAGTGCCCAGTCCTCATCACAGGTACATATGCTTTATTCCAATGGTTTTCCTTTTGCAAAACTGATTCCCCTCTACCTTGGCAGAAGTATTTTGGATATTCTTTATGGATTAACACCTTGTCATTTGCCCTAGCTAGATAATAGTTTGAGGAGACAAAGAATTTGAGCTTATCAGTTTCACTTGTTTGGTACAATAGAAACATACTAAAGTGGCTACTTCTATTATTCTTTCCCTTTTTTGCCATGCTTGACTTACTCCTGGCTCTATGCTCAAGGATAACTCCTGGAGGGGATTATATGTTCTAGTGGGAAACCAAACCTGGGTCAGCCACATGGAAGGCAAGCACCTTAGTGCTAATTCAATCTGGTCCCGTAAAGCTATTTTAAGTGTGAACCACCACCCATCTGTATCGTATTCTATATGCACAAACTACCAATAAATCCTCAGGGTAAGTCACCGACTTCTGTACTTGTCTCAGGTTCTTGAAGTCTTACCCTCTTAGGAGAGCCCCTCCCTATCTTAACTGTTTAACAATGAGTTGTGGCTAGGAAAGCCCCTCCACAAATCCCCACCTGCCTGGAAACACCTGCCCTTCCTAACTCAAGTTCACTGCTTTCTACCTAGCTGCACAGAAATCCCACAGAAACCCGGAAAGGACCCCCCCATAAACACTCTGCTGTGGCTGGTTTGGGGGTAAAGCACCAGCATCTTTACTCTTAATCTCTTCAGAAAAGTCCAACCTATGGGGATACTGTGACCAAGGCTGGAAGTGTCAACCCTACTGATCTTCCCGGCTACAGCAGCGCCTTCCTGAACCTGCCTCCCCCCACCCCTAGGCTACTCCTCCCTCCTCTCCTCCCTTGGAGAGTATACACCTACTCTAGCCTCAGCCTCCTCCATCTACTCCAGCTCCTTCCTTGATGGGTAGGCCGGACTATCTCCTCCTCCTCCTACTCCAGCCTGCCCCCACCATGAGTAGACCAGACTGTCTCTTCCTACCTACTCTAGCTTCCTTTTGGTGTACAGAGGATGTAAAGCTAGAAATTACTCTGCATAGGTAATTTCTCTCTCAATAAATCAGAAATTATCTCAAATCCTAATCACCTCTATAAGGCTAATCACCAGAATAAGAGTAACAGAAAACAACAACAACAACAACAACAACAACAACAACAACAAACCTTTAGACTAGCCAGAAAGTACCAAAAGTCAAGGAAAAAAACATGCAAGAGAAAATGCTTGCTATTTATTTAGGCAAAGAGCTAATACATTTTTTTAATACATTTAATAACTCCTAAAGCTGAGTTAAAAAAAAAAAAACAGGGAAAAAACATAAGACAAATCGAATTACCAATTACAAATATACTTTCTAACATCAGATGGACAAAAATCCAAAAGCTGCCAACATACTTACTCTGCTGGCAAGGCGGGAGGCACAGAGCAGTCCCACACTGCTCGACAGGAGTAAACAGTAGTAAAAATCAAACGGATGCAAACTCAGAATTCCATATGCATCACAAGTGCTCCTACTTCTCACTCCCGTAATCCCCAGTCCAAACACATGCAACATGAGAATGCAAGGTTAGAATAGAAATATATTGCAGAGCCACCCAAAGCATGGCTGGGAAAACAAGAGAATTCTCTGGGATTATGCAAGTTATGCTGCGGGAGTATGACGAAGGTAAAAAAAAAAGAACAAGGGAGTACCAGAAAGTGTGTAGGAGTCAAGGTGCTTGTCCTGCACATGGCTGACCCGAGTTCAATTCCCAGAGCCACATATGGTTCCCCAAGCACAACCATGAGTGACTCCCGAGCACAGAGCCAGGAGTAAGATGAGCATTACCACCTGTGGCCCCAACCTTTCCCCTACACTCCCCAAAAAAGAACAAGGGAAGCCCTCTGTGAACGAATATGGAAAAGAACGTACTGACGCTTCCTGGAATAGATTAAACTGACAGAGCGAAGTCTACATCACCACCTCATTTCTATTCCAGAGAAGCTGCTACTTAGCCACAGGAAGTTCATGAACCAAAGGCCTTCTAGAACCTTCCAGCTCACCTGCGCCTAACTGCTCACCTTCCCCAAGAACTCCCTAATGAGTCCAAGATAAGCAGCACAGCCCCAGACTACACAATTCCACTTCCTCCTGTCCAACCCTTTCATGTGTCATCCTCCGTAACAAAGACAGAGTTCCTAATTTCATCTTTAAGGTAACACAAGAAATTAGACCCGCAATCTAATGTAGATAATCTTGGGGAGGACAAGGAGTGAACGAGTTCCCTTCAAAAATGTGTGTTTAAACTCTACTCTTCAATGTGATGGTATCTGGAAATATCCAATGGTAGTAACCACTTTCTTCTTGGTGGGGTGGTAGGCTTAGACCATACCCAGCTGTGCTCAGTTTTGTTCCTTAAAACCTGGCACAGACATTATGAGGTCATCAGCATTTATTATATGAACTATTAGATAATGGCAATATCTTGCGGTTTTTAACCTATTTTCCTAGCTCCAGACCCATTTGGGATCCTCTTCAGCTATTTAAGCATCCTATGGAAAATTCTGTTATATCTTTTCTCCTCTCGGTTCTTCTGAAGTCAGATTTTCATCTACCCTCAAATCTTGCCAGGTAAATCTCCATTTCTCGACTACTCTATTTCCCCCTTTCCTCGTGCGCCATTCTGGTTCTCTTCTTAGCAATATTTCATCTATAACTTACGCCGAATTTTGTTCAAGTCCTGTTTTTCATTTGTTTCAGCTATTTTTTCCCCTCCCCAGCAGTCTTGCTAATCAGTTTTCACCTGATGTTCTATTCCTGTAGTCTGTCATGACTAGGAACTCTTAATAACATCACGTGCCTTGTGCTTTTTGCATTGTTAACAAGCAGAACTTTATCTGAAAACCCACACAACCTAGATTGAGAACATATCCCTCCATAGTCATTTCCATTTGCTGTTATCAGGTGCTCTAAGGCTAATGCAGGCTAGAAGCTAATATTCAATATTCATTTTTCAACTTATAGACTTATAAACCCCATGAGAAATACAAGTAACAGAAAGTAAAACTCAAACAACTGACTGATTACAAATTCTTAGCAAGATTTCCTTCACCCCAGTTATAACAGAGATACTCAATCTCCTGAGGCCAGTGAATAGACTGTAACTTCCATCCTCAAAAAGGGTATCATGTCCCAGTAATACCAGAGAGATGGGGCTCCCATACCAGCTTCAATATCACCAATGTTACATTTTCTGACCCATGTGGGTTGTTCAAACTAAATAATAGTAAATGCTCCCTGACCAGAAACGTATCAGATCAATGACCAAATGCACTGGACTGTAGCTAAAGATATTTCTCTTTCAATTTCAGTTACACATTTGTAAAATGTTGTTTCACTTTCTAGGATTTTGTTTTGCTTTACTTTTTAGCAATAGGGTTTTAAGTTCATCTGTAGCACCACATCGTCCAAATATACAATGACACTGCACATTACAAATTATTATTATTCCTTATTTGAACTCACTGATTAGAACAATGTCTAATTCTGACCAGCCAGCTCCTGCTCCCTCCTATTTTGTTTCATTCCCTCCTATACATGTTTGACTAGATGACCACCAATTAAAGGTGGGACACACAGCTTAGGACTGAAACAGTAGAAGGCCCTCCTTGAACCCCTCAAGATAAAAGCTGAGTTCATTCTGATACATTCTCAGAACTGGTGTGAATAGAGAACAAGAGGCTCCCACGAGCTTTCTACAGAACAGAAAAAAAACAAAATTCTATAAGCCAACGGGCTAACAGGACGGGGAGACCATCACCAGAGTCTACATGGGGAAAAATCTGACCTATGCCCAACACTGGGAAAATGAAGCTATGCCCTACAGTACTGGAGTCACCAGACAAAACCATGACCGGAGTCAAAACTAGCTCTTCATTTTTCAGTTACACAAGCCAATATTTTCTTTTTGTCTCAGCCAGTGATCTTAAATCACCTGTCCGCAGGGTCTATATAAAGGTTGAAAACCACAGCTCTAGCACTATGGTTCTGAATGCCAGTCAAGGACCAGCATGCCAGTACGCAGCACAGGAGCAATGTCCGCAGTGTAAAAGGCCAAAGCATGCTGGTCCAAGCCAGTGGTTGTCAACTGAAAGAATTTTTCATGATATGGAAGTTTACCAAGTGTTCAAAGTTCAATAAAATTGTACTGGCTTACCTGGATAACCAATTCCTTTGGCATTTGCGTAGGGAACTCCAGAAGAGCCAGGGCTATACACAGGATTCATGATTTCAAGAACTAAAAAGGAAAAAAAAGTTACTTAGTCAAGCACATTGTTCTCCAGCATCGATCTCAAAAGAGCAGAACAAAGCATTTCATGCTGCCAAGAGGGGACAACTAGGAACGCCCCGAATCCCAATGGACGCCTACTAGCATACTGCCATATAATAACTAGCATACTGCCAACTTTACGACTCTCTTCCCTCTTACAGAAGTGGGAAAAACATACATATATGGACCAAAAACAAACAAACAAACCCTGTAGTTTAAATGCCCTTTAACAATTAAACTATCCTTTAATAATTTCTCTAGAAAGTATCCAGAAAGCTCCTATGCATTCTAGGAGCCAGTTTCCGAAGTGTGAGCTTAATCAGAGATTTAACAATGTTCCTGTCTAGTAAATCATTCAGTGAAACAAAAATGAGGTTAAATTTAGAAATTTTAAAAAGCCTACATACACAGAAAAGGGTTGGAAATTCTACTTTTTGCTCTACTTTTACTTTTTCACAGTAAAGCAAAAACTGCTCTTAAAAACTCAATTTTACCTGATAACAACGAATGAGTAAAGTGTGGTATGTATACACAATGAAATACCATACAGCTGCAAGAAAGGACGACATCATGAAATTCGCAGTGACTTGGACGGAACTGGAGATTACCATGTTGAGTAAAGTGAGCCAGAGTAAGAAGGACAAAAACACCAGGTGACTTCCCTTATCTTCGGTATACAGAAAAGCATCAGGAGGAGGGAATTCCCACGGGGAGATTCCCAGATCACCCCTGGCCCTTGGTTATACGAATGAAAAGGCCAGGAAGGAAAGAAGCTAGGGTGAGGGTGAGTTCAGAAACAGGAGGTAACAGGGGTAGGGATCAGGGTCCTTTGAGCTCACTGGTGAAGTAGAGGTGCACTGTAGGCATATACATATGAGGTATACCCACAGATATAAAAATTACAAACTACAATACTGTAAGAGCCCACAACACTGCCAGCATAAGATCCAATCAGCAATGTCCAAACATGCACATGTGCCATCCAAGGAGCCTTCCTGGGAGAAAGAGACACTGGGGATGCTGGTGGGGAGATGGGTGCTGGGATGCTGCACTCCTGAGGCTCAACTATGAATAACTATGTAAATTACAGCGCCTTAATATTTAAAAATTTTAAAGTCTTTCAAAAATAAACCTGTATTAAAACGTGCATGTACTCATTTGCTTTCTCCACTAGAACCTAACCCAAGCAATGCAGCCCAGGAACTTGGCCCTGTTTACTGCAGTGCCCTCCTCGACACCAACACCAATGCCTAACACAAAAAAGGTGCAACTACCGTATTCGGATATCCGAAGACTCTAATTTTATTATAAAGATAAAACAAACCAATTTGTTCAAACAAACTTGAACCACTTCAAATTTCCCGTTCATATGATTATTCACAACTAAGAAGCCTAGTATAAATACTTGGTTCTGGTCCTTATCCTTTGTAACCAAACAAGAATACACTGGGGCAGGGGTGGGTGGGGGTACAGGGGACACAGGGGGATAGGACAGGGACAACACATCAGCAATCGTGACTTTCCTTAGCCGATCAATTCCTAATTTTTTAAGCAATCGTGACTTTCCTTAGCCGAACAATTCCTAATTTTTTAAGCTTCTATACAGATGTCAAATTTGCTGTGACATTCAAATCTATTGCCAAAGATATCAGAACTTTCTACAACGGTGACAATCCCTATTCATGCAGACCCAATATGGTAGACATAAGCTGAAAAAAAAAAAGTTACCTTAAATAAACGAACAGTGTGGACAGTATAGGAGGCTGATAGTTTAATTTACTTCAGTTTAAATTTAAATAGCTACTTGTGGCTTGGGTTATTGAACTGGCTAGAGGGAGTAGCAAGGCAAGCATAAAAATAGTGTATTTACCCCATATCTAAGAATAAATAAATCTGCAACTGTATTCCCTATAGCCTTACACTTTGAACCAACTCTTGGTGAATCTGCAAAAAGTATGAATTGAGATCCCCAAACATGTAATCTACTTCTATATTCAACATCAACTCCTGGGAAGTAAGTATTTTCCCAAAATTATTTCTCCTTTCCTGCCAGGACCTGATGCTTCTTAATAAACTTCAAGACTGATAAAATAGTACAGTACATGCACCAACAAAAGATGAAAAAGGCATGTCACCACTACTGTTGCATTAACAATGTAGGAAAAGAGAAAAGGCTGCCCCAAAGAGCCTTCTGTGAAAATGCAATCTACTAAATACTTGCAATGTGGCTAGCACAACCCAAGAACAAATTCTAGTTTAACTTTTTTAATTAAACACCACATTATAAGCACTAATGGCTATTCTACTAGACCTATATGACATGATTATTGGTGATAAGAGTATCCTAGGTTTGAGTCATGCACAGCTGAATGATGAGAGTAGAGTGGGGGTTGGGGAGAAGAGAATAGGAATAATTTGATGGTTTTCCCAGCCTCCAAAGGTCATCTGGACACCTGCATCCAGGGCACCAAGAGGGGCACCAAGCAGAGAGCCTCAGTGGCCGCTAGCTCCCACACAGCAAAATCAACACAATGCCTCTGGCTAGTGTCTCCAGATGGAGCCCTGCCCAGAAATCAACCTGCTGAAAATGCAGGCATGTAGGTTTTTGTGACAGGTTATCTCCAGGCTTTCTCTGCGTCTACCTTCCCCTATCTCCCTGTACTTCCAGAAGCCTGGCAGTCACATCCACACCCCCAAAGCCGCTGCCCAGTTAAAAATTTAACTCCAACTGTACCATCAAGTTAAAAATTCTGGACTTCCTGGAGCAACATCTTCGAACTCGACAACAGTGCTAATCCAGTAGAGGCCCACCACACTGGATGGGAAGTAACATAGAAGGCCACCAATTTCAACTAACCCAACGGTGAAGGCTTAACCGAAACAATATCTTAGTAATCTCTCCTACAAGGATGTTCTTAATGTCTCCAGGGTGACACACAACAATTTACACTAATTTTCTTCCAAGGAAATACTTTTTGATCATTCAGTTAGAAATTGATAACAAGCAATATAAAATGAATTATTGTGGGCCTGCCATAGGGGCAGTTTTTAGGGGTGGTTGAGAAAACTGGAGACAATGGTGAAGGGAAGGTGATAATGGTAGTGGGATTGGTGTTGAAACATTGAATGCCTATAACAGATCATCATGAACAATTCTGCAAACCACAGTGTTTACATAAAGTGTAGGGGGAAAATTTATACAAATAGGCCTTACCTGTTTCTTGTTAACTCTGAAATATATTAGCACAGAAATTCTTTGAAAGTTTTAGTAAAGAGGGGCTAGAGCAATAGTACAATGGGTAGGGTGTTTGCCTTGCATGTGGCTGACTCGGGTTCAATTCCCAGCATTTCATATGGTCCCCGAGTACCGCCAGGAGTAATTCCTGAGTGCAGAGCCAGGAGTAACCCCTGAGCATTGCTGGGTTGTGACCCAAAAAGCAAAAAAAAAAAAAAAGTTTTAGTAAAGACAGATAGTTATTATAATTATTACCATGACGAGATCAAAATATAAAAGATTATACCAAAAAAAAAACCTCTTGATGGTTTTCCAAAAAAGCCCTAATAGCATCTCTAAGAACTATAGATACGAGAAAATGTGAAATGCATTTTAGAATATCGAACTAAGGAGCTTGTCCAAGCTACATTTAGATAATAGCAAACGATGATATGGTGATATCACTCAAGTTAAAAACATAAGGCAGGTGTTCAACCAAGTAGACCATGTTATATGGTAGGCAATGAAGCTCATGAATGACAGCAGGTAAGCTCAAAGGCTATATGCCTTGTAATTCCAACAAATTAAAACTACATATACACACTAGCTTGCACAAGAATGTTTGTAAAGCCAAAAGCTCTATAACTCAAGTGAACAAAAAGTTCTCAATCCAAGATGATCTGGCTTATGAGCTAAACCAGTAATACAATTCTACTCTGTATCTGCCATTAAAAAATTCAGAGAACTGTATTTGAATTCTAAATATCATTAAGTTCCAAACTACCCAGAAGTTACTATTCCCTAAGAGCAGTTCAACTTTTCTATAGTCTTGTAATAAATCTTTCCTAAATTGAGTAAAAAGTCTCAATGAACTCAGTTTTAAGAAATTAGAACAGAACTGAATTCAACTGGACAAAATGACTTTCACTGTGCAATACAAAGTCTGCCATCAAACATCAAATAGTTCTTTAAATTATGAGTTCAACTGCTGAGAAATTACCTCCAAGACTAAGCCTCAAGGACACAGAAAATAACTTACCAAGCTATTTAATCTGTATCTCACTAAAGCTTGGTAACTCATAAACACCTACTAAATTTTCTTGAGTAACTCCGTACTGGGGCCTGAGTGATACAGCACTTGTCCCATGTGTGAAGGCCCTGGGTCTGACCCCAGGCACTGCAGAAGAGCAAACCAAAAACAATAAAACACCTGACTAGCCAATAGAAAATATAGAACTTTTCATGACAAAAATGTAAATGTGAGACATTTAAAGTCTTCAGAACAATTCAGACACATCTATTTATAAATTAGTGTATATAAACTTTGGGCTGGAGCAACAACAGCGGGTAGGGCATTTGCCTTGCATGCAGCCGACCAGGGTTCGATCCCTCCACGCCACTTGGAGAGCTGGGCAAGCTACTGAGAGAATCCCGTCAGCACAGCAAAGCCTGGCAAGCTACCCGTGGAGTATTTGATGAGCCAAAAACAGTAACAATGTCTCACAATGGAGCCATTACTGGTGTCAACTGGAGCAAGTCCATGAACAATGGAAGGACAGTGCTACAGTATCTAAACTTTGAACCTGCAAACCAATGTTTCCATCACTAACATTATGTGCATCCTCATAATGAGAATAATAATTACCAAACGTATCACAAAAAACTAAAATCTGAACCTAACGAAATAAAACCTTGGTTAGAGGAAAAGACAGAAGCTGAAGGAATATGCTAAACCCATAAAGCAATCAGACTGTTAGGACATGATAAAGGACAGATGACCCAGTTTCCTCAGCAAGTCAATGTCAAGAAAAGAGATATAACGGAAGGGAGGACAATAATAAATTTAAATAGAAAGCCCATAAGTTAATTTTTTTTAATTCTGTCTGGATCCTGATTGGATCAACTATAAAGGCAACTGTTTTAACCTTGTTCCAAAGATTCCAATGAGTTAAAAAATATTCTTATTCAAAACAGCAATCACAAAAAATAAACAAAAGAACAGCAATCACAAAATTTTTAAGGCTTTGCAAGTTGGTGTTTCACTGCAAGAAAATTAATTTCAAGGAGCTTAAATTCTCTCCACATGCAAGATACCTTTAATATCTTTTAGAACCATAAAAAAAAAAATTCTCAGTATTGGGGATGTACCAAAAGAGGGAGAAATAAACTGTACTCCCCTAAACCCCCCTAAACTCTTCCCTAACTATCATGGTTTGCAATCTATTGGTGGGGGGGGGGGGGGATTCCTGCAACATTCTTGCACAGAAACACTGACTGCAGACACTTCCAAAGTATAGAACAGAATACACTGATGAGAAAAGTATTACACTGGTAGGCTATCCTTTGAAAATTGCTTTCAATTTATTCAGGAAAAGAAGCTGCTACATACAAACCTGATAAACAAAAAGGTCCCTATAAACCATGGGACCTATAACAAACATTTTAAATATTTAAATAACTTGGGGTTGGAGCAATAGCACAGCGGGTAGGGCATTTGCCTTGCACACGGCCAACCCAGGTTCGATTCCCAGCATCCCATGTTTCCCTGAGCACCGCCAGGAGTGGTTCCTGAGTGCAAAGCCAGGAGTAACCCCAGAGCATCATCGGGTGTGACCCAAAGCGCAAAAAAAAAAAAAAACCCCAACCTTAATATTAAAGATATTAACCATCTAAGTTATTAAATATTTAAATGACTCAAACGGTTACTATCTCTAACATTAATTGAATATCAATATCACTGCTTCGTTATTTTCAACTCCAGCCCTGTCTGTGGCATTCAAGACGACTCACTTCCCTAGCGTTTTAAAATTCAAATAAGTACTCGGCATGGAAACGGTCTGACCTTAAAATGACAGTGAGTGGAAAGGCAGAGAAGGGGAACCAGAAACCCTAACCGACCGCAATTGCAGTCAGAAGGCGGAGGTGCAGGCGACCGATTCCCGCCCTCCCGAGGCGGGCCTGGTGGGGGGCCGCCGAGACCCGGAGGGGAGTGGTCGTGCCCGCCCCGCCCGCGAGTCCCGGGGCTGTCAGTGCCCGGGGGGGGCGACCCCAACCTGGGAGCGGGCCGCCGAGACTGCCCCCCGACGGTGCCGACAGCCCCAAGAGCCGACTCGCTCCAGCTCCAAGGGCGAGTCCCGGGCATCGCCCAAACAAAAACTACCAAAACCGGTCCCAAAAAGAAAAAATATATATATATATTATTTTATAAAGACACAGCCACGATTCGGAGAAGGCGCGCGGACGCGCCTGCCCGCACACGTGCATGTCCCTCCCGCACACGGTCCCACCGCGGACACGGACGGGCGGGCAGGCGGGAGACGCTTCCCCGCAGGACGCACGGCCGAGCCCAGCCGCACGCGCCTTTCCGGGCCGGACGGCGACACCGTCCGCCCCGCCCGGCGACTCGAACCCGCGTCCCGCCAGGAGACGGAGCGCACGGCCCGCGCGCCGGCACGAACTTCGGGGAGCCGCGCCGAGCCCGCGGGACAAAGCCCGGCCCGGCCCGGCCCGCGCGCCGACCTTGGCGCCGCCCCGCGCGGCCGCACAAAGCGCCGCACTTCCGGCCGGGCCGCGCCTCCGCCCGTCGCCCGTCGCCCGCCCGCCCGCCCGCCGCCGGCCCGCCCGCCCCGCGCCCGGCCCGCCCCGCCCGCCCCGCCCGCCGCACTCACCCCGCCGCGGCCGCGCCGCCTGGGCCTGCACCACCAGCGCTCGCCGGCCCGCAGCGGGCCCGGCGTCGGGGCGAGCGGGAGGCGCGCGCGCACGGCACCGCTCCGAGGCGACGGTCGAACCGCGAGGCTCCGGCGTCCGCCGCTTGCCGCCGCCGCCGCCCGACCCGCGAGCCCGCCCGCGCCGCCCGACCCGGCCCGCCTCTCAGCAGCCCGCGCGCCCGCCGCCGCGCCGCCGCCGCCGCCGCCGCCGACTTCACTTCCGGCCGGGGCGCGCGGGGCGCCGGGCACGTGACGCGACGGCGGCGGGCGGGCGCGCGGGGGGCGGGGCGTGCGCGCGCTCGCTCGCGGCGAGGGCACCCGGATGCAGAGTCCTGGGCTCTGCGTGCGCCTGGGGTCGCTGCCCGACGCCCAGGTTCCCGCCCCGGGCTGTCCGGGTTCGCGACCCGCCGCCCGCGCTCCGCACCCTGCTGCCCTGGGCGGGGAGGAGAACGTATCTGTAGCGTTCTGTCAATTCTTTTTCTCTTTTTATTTTTATTTTTTTTCCTTTTTGGGTCACACCCAGCGATGCACAGAGGTTACTCCTGGCTCCTGCACTCAGGAATTGGCTCCTGGCGTTGTCAGAGGAGCATATGGGATGCTGGGAATCGAACCCGGGTCAGCCGCCTGCAAGGCAGACGCCCGCCCCGCTGTGCTATCGCTCGCTCCAGCCCCGTTCTGTCAACTTCTGGGGAAACGTGCCCTTGGGGTTCCTACTGTTTCAGGACAGCCGCCACTTGGCAGGCACCGTCATGGAAAGGTCGGGCTGGAATGCCGCACCCGTGGGTGCTTCCCGGGACGGCCACGTGCGCGCCCTACGACTGCATCAGGAGTCGCGGCCGCCTCTGCGCCCACCCCGGTGCTGTCCACGCCCCGCTGTCACTGCGGGGACACACCGAGTCCAGAGCTGGGCGCCCTGCACCGCCAGACGGTGCAAGAAGATTAGCAAAGGAATTCTTACTTGGGGCTGGAGCAAAACAGAGCGAGCCACTCCCAGAGCACACAGAAAGTGACCTCACCAGGAGTCACACTGCAGGGGCCAGTTCTCAGACACAAAGTTACATAGTGTCTATTATTCTTGGATTTAAAAAAAAACCTTGGTACTAAGCGCTTAACACTGTCTCTCTGTCTCTATGTATATTTAATTCTTCGTGAAACAATACTAGATTTCTTTTTATTTTGAAGTCAGTGTTTTATCTCACTGGGTCCACTAATTGCTCTTAAAGGAAGGCTAAGTGATCATGGCCCAGGTAATAGTGAATCCCCACAGCTCCCTGGCTCTGTAGCTTGGAAGGACTTTCAGCTACATCCCACCCAGGGTGAGGGCATGGGACATCCGTGCCTGGATCCATATTGGCTTGCAAGGGGCTGCTCAAACGACACAAACTGGTGGGCTAAGGTCCAGAAGTTCTTTCCAGGTTTTCTCTCTGTTGACTGAGCAAGTACAAGCTGTCCTGAGTATGTACATGTTAGAGAGGTGGGGAGGGCAGAAGAGGAAGTTGGTTGCAGAGAAAGTATAGGTCACGACTCCTGGATGCACTTGGGGAATGTTGGACTCCAGGTTTTTTTTTTCTTTTTGGGTCACACCCGGCATTGCACAGGGGTTACTCCTGGCTCATACACTCCGGAATTACTCCTGGCGGTGCTTGGGGGACCACAAGGGATGCTGGGAATTGAAACCCGGTAAGCCCGTGTACAAGGCAAGCACCCTACCCGCTGTGCTATTGCTCCAGCCCCTGGACTCTAGGTTCTCTGTGAATCTGAAGAACACCCCGCATATCACACAGATCAGCAGACTCTTCCTAGGAAAGAGAAGAGTGGGTGAGGAGATTCCTCTGAAATGAAGACAAGAGGTATACTGGACACCTGCAACTGGACTGGACCCCCGATTTCCCTGCCTGAGTGGAGAACCAGTGTGTCTATTATGCAAGCTGAGATGGGCCTCCAAGAATACCCCCCAAAAAAAGTTCTAAAGACTCTACTTGGCACTAGTAAGGTTTTGATGTCTTTTAAAATAGCTGCAAAAGGAGCCAGAGCAATGATCCAATAAGCAGGGCCCTTGCCTTGCAGGCGGCAGACCCAGGTTCAATCCCTAGCATCCCATATGATCCCCTGAGCACTGCTGGGTATGGCCCCAATTTTTTTAAATATCTGCAAATAATATGAATCTTACTCTTTTAAAAGTTCATCTGTTAGAATATAGATAGCATGTTTATCTGATTCTCACCATTTTCCATCTTTAAAAAAGTTCATTTTAAAAAATGAATGGGGGAGGGGCAAAGCACCAGTACAGTGATTAGGGCACATGCCTTGCATGCAGTCAACCCTGGCTCAATCTCGAGCATCCCATTGGTCCAACAAGCCCACCGGGAGGGATTCTTAAGTGCAGAGCCAGTAGTAACCTCTGAGTGCCGGTGCAAACAAATAAACAAAAAAATCAACTGAGGGTGTAGTTCAGTTGAGCGCATGTTCTGCCTGTGTGAGATACTGGGTTCAATCCTCAGCACTGAAAATAAATATTAAAATGCACTAATAAATTCCATTCCACAACATTTCTTTGTTCCTTTCTCTTTTTGAACTATCCGTTCTGCTGCCTCCCACGTATCTGTGTCAAGTGTTTTTTTAGAACAACTTTTGTCGGTGTGGCAAGGAAACAATGTAATAAGAACAAGTCCATTGGGGCTGGAAAGAGCACACTGGATAGGGCCTTTGCCTTGCATGCAGATGACCTGAGTCAAATCCCTGGCTTTCCACATGGTCCCCTGAGCATCACCAAGTGTGACCCAAAAACCAAAAAGAAGAACAAATTCGAAATATCAGTGTCTGCACACAATAAAATTTTAAGTACTTCAAATGATCCAAAGCAGGTGGTGTCATCGTAAGAAAACAAACAAAGCTTGGCACAAACAAGAGAATTCACTAAGAAAAATCAAAAGGATGGATGGGAAAACCATGGCGATCATGTATCTAACTTCAAATGGACCAAAAGATTCATTTTACTTGGGCTGTCACTGTCACTGTCCTCCTGTTGTTCATCGATTTGCTTGAGCGGGCCCAGTAACATCTCCATTGTGACACTTGTTACCGTGTTTGGCATATCGAATACATCACGGGTAGCTTGCCACGCTTTGCCGTGCAGGGAGGCAAGATACTCTCAGTAGCTCGCTGGACTTGGGCTACTTATAGAAAAATAAATATATAAATTGAACAATATTGAACGTAGCTCCATGTAGAACTTCTCGATTTCTCTTTCATCATAATGAGATGTTGGTGCATAGACAACGAAGATAGAAACTGCAGGCAGTGAGCCACATCTATTCAAATGTAAACGTCCGATTCGGGTTGTTAGGCATTCGAATGAATCAATGCTCTTGGCCAAGTTTGTGTTGACAAGGACACCGACGCCTCTGACACCTCTTTTATCGCATGTTCTGAGGAACAATTCTTCTCCAGTGTCGAAAATGGCATGGAGAGATTCGTGCCTTCTTGTCTCGGTCAGACCAAGGATGTCGTACTTGATCATTCGCACTTGTACCATCAGGTCCTCTATGGATGCATCTGATGCTAGCGTACGTGCATTGAAAGTACAGACGATCATTTTTGTCTTCCTTCGTTGTGGCAGCCTACGTCGGCCTTGAGATTTTGTCGGCCTCTCCTTTCTCATCCTTCTCAGTGCTGCCATGTCGGTGAAGCCTTCAGGGTCAGGTGAATGAGACCAGTTGTAGTTACTGGTTTTGGCATATCGAATACACAGCGGATAGCTTGCCAGGCTCTTCCGTGCGGGCGGAATACTCTCGGTAGCTTGCCAGTCTTTCCGAGAGGGATAGAGGCTTTTGGGGTGACCTCTAATCACCTTTGTAGGTGTTACCATATTTGAACCCTATCAAATATGGTACGACAATTCCAGAAGATGGGTATTTAGTGTCTTATGAAGCGGCCGCGCGGGTCCGGAAAGCGTCCTGGAGTGTGGCGACGGCTGGGTAGTGGAAGTAGTGTAGAGAAATCGAGAAGTTCTACATGGAGCTAGAGAAGTTCTATAAAGAAGACCACACCTTCTACAAGATCATTGTGGGTGATTTTAATGCCAAGATAGGACCGAGAAGATCAGTTGAAGAACTTCACATCGGGACCCATGGCCTAGAATGGAACGAACAGGGTGAGAGACTGCCTGAGTTCATCATGTCGACCAAGACCATTCATGGTAACTCACAGTTCCAGAAGGCAGAATCTAAACGATGGACATGGGAGTCTCCCAGTGGACGATTCCACAACGAAATAGACCACATCATATTCAATCGATGGTTTTGCCTGACTGATGTCGCTGTTGTCCCAAAATTTCGAACGGGATCAGACCACCGTCTCCTTCGTGCAAAATTCTACTTCACAGAGCGGGGAGAAAGGGCTGCAAAGTTCAACAAGAGAACTCCCAGAATGACCACCAACTGGGAACTCTTTGGTACTATTTTTTTTTTCTTTTTTATTAGTGAAACGACATGAGGTACAGTTGTAGATTTACAAATTTTTGTGCTTGGATCTAGGTCATACCACGATCAAATACCCATCCCTCCACCAGTGCCCATTTTCCACCACCAGGATAATATCCCTCCCCCCCATCCTCCCATCCCCCCATCCCCCCCTGCCACTGTGGCAGGGCATTCCCCCCTGTTCTCTCTCTCCTCCTGGGCGCTGTGATCAGCCAAAGAGGCATTGAGTGGCGAACATGTTCAGTCCAGTCTACTTTCAACCTGCATCTCCCCTCCTGGGAGGATCCAAGATGCCATTGTTGACAACATTGACGAGGAATACGATCGACTGGTTCAGCACCTCCATGAATGTGCGAGGAACGCCAAGAGAGAGATAGCCACAAAAAATCGCCTATCTTCGAAAACTCTTGAGCTAATTCGCCAGCGTGGTTTGGCGCATGCCTCAGGCAACTGCAAGCTAACGTCCGAGCTCGCAAAGCAGTGCAGAAATGTGATCAAGGAAGACCTCAAAGAGAGAAGAGCAGAAGTACTGGTAGATGCGGCAGAAGCCGGGAAA